ATGTCAAAGCCATTTTCTTTACGATGGCCATGAATGACTTAACTTCCATTTCCAAAACGTTTCCTATGTTATTATGCTTAGATGAAAATTGATACGGACATATTTACTTCTTTCTATTATTTCTACATACTGTCCTGTCTCTTCTCCTTTGACAGATTGTTTTTAAATCTCAAAATAAAATTTTTCTGCACATGGATCCAGCATAAAATTTGTTTGCTGTCAGGGAATACAGACTTGATTCCTCCTAATAAGGCTTCGTCATTATCAGTTACAACGCACTTTGGTAAATCCACCGTGCTTTCACCAACGGGCCAAACAATCTCACGAAAGCATTTTAAAGCCCATCGGTATCGATCACCTGTTTCACAATCCATCCAGCATCCTGCAATAGGTACCGTTGTCAATTGCTTGGGCTTTTCTTTGGAACGCAAAGTACCAGCTACAACGAAATTTAACAAGACCATTTTGTGGGAGTTAATCTTGTATGTTGCATCCATCATAATACACTCCGAAAGCTTTCTGGCCCCGTCAATGCCATGTTGGTGTATAAAAAACACACAACAAATTCTTTCATCATTATCTGTCATGTGACGAACCTGATGGCCACTGGACTCGAGGTTTTTAATAAAGTTCCACATGTTAGTGTGTTTATCCCGACAAAATTGTTGTTGGATATTAGTCAAATCCGTGACAATTAAGTTATTGACACCTCTTGTCTCAAGAATCTATTTACCAGCGTGTTACTGTTATTAAAAGACATAAAAAGGGGGCATATAAAGACATTATAAAGATTATAGGCAAAATAATAACTTTTATTATGATTACAGCTCTACTAACGATTAATTTCTCCATATCCACTTGCAACCTTACCTTTAAAGTTTCACTTGGTGTTGTTCCTGCACGCATGAGACTAATTGCGCGTTCTTGATCTTCGGCCTCGAGCTTTCTGTTGTTATGATACACCCTTCTATCGTCGCTCAAAGGGTGATTGTGCTCGAAACAGCTGGATCGAATTGTCCATGGCTGACCGATAGCTCTCGCATCCTTACGGACATAAACAAATGCGGAGCATCCTGCTCGTCCAGTGGTTCTGTTAGGTCGTTGAACCATACTCTCTAATCCTTCATCATTTCCTGCATCTTCTGCATCTATTTTCGAAAACAATTTACAGAATTAATATTCCACTCTATGCCAGATTATGGTTACAATTACCTTCACCCTTTCTGGCAGAACGATAGTTACCAAAATGCTTACAAATCAACTTGATGTAAGATTTGTCGCTTTTGAGAGTCTCAAAAGGGATATTCTTGGTCATACCAACAGACGTTATTTGAAGTCTTGCAGCTTCCTTGTCCAAAAATGTTTTTCCAACTGTAAGTTCGGCTTCAAAAGCAGCCTTTACCTCAATGACACGTTCATTCGGCTGGACAGTCTCAGCAAATGAAGGAACATCTCGTGTAGCTTTGACGCTGATATCCTCATCTTCCGGGTCAGTAAGACATTCCCAGTCATACTCATCTGCCAGTTTCTCTCGAGCATCGGTTTGTTTATCGTTTTGTTTGTCGAAGATCTCCTCGAAACTATCTTTAACTTCTTCAGTGGGGTTAATTACAGACAAAAGGCTGTTGATTAACAATTGGCTTTCACTCAAAAAATCGTGTGAATCGTTTGAATTCATTTTAAAATAAAAGTTTAACAGAAAAAGAATAAAGCAAAAAAAAAAGTGGTGCGCGAAAAAGTCTGGTGCGCCAGCAAAAAAAGTATGGTGCGCCAGCAAAAAAAGTATGATGCGCCAGCGAAAAAAAAGTATGGTTTTTTTTTTTTTTTGTATGAACAGTAAGTTTATTTAGCAATAAGTGAATTATACGTAAAACGAAAGGGAAAATTAAAATGGTTATTTTTTAACAACCTTAGTCTTCGTAAACAAATTATGACCTTTTAGAGTAGGGGGTGTTCGAGCCACCAATTTGGGAAACGTCCCTTTCACGCTCTGTTTAGAGGCAGGATGTTTACCTAAAGCAGAACGTTGTGGACTAAGACCTTTATCTGTCCCACCAGTTCTACCAACCAATTCTGCGTTTGAAGAAGGAAGAGTGGCGGTATCCATTACATGGTCCACCTCTCCAGACACACTAGCAACAGTAGTTGCAAACTTGGAAGCCTCGGAACCACGGGAAACAATCTTGGGCGATGTAGAAACATCAGAAATATCAGTGTCTGAGTCGGACAAAATAGTGGCATCAAGACAATCAGTTGAATCCAAGTCAATATCTTCTGATACTTCAGCGAAAACAGGATGCCTAACAACGGAACGTTTTCCCCTCTTACAAAACTTGGCTGTGTGACCATGACTATGACATACAAAACATTTGGTCTTCGCTAATTCCGGGCATTTGGAACGAATATGACCAGCAACATGGCACCAATGACACACAGAAGGAGCACCTTTAAAGGTCGCAGAAGCAAAACAGTCCCATTCCGATAGATACAAGTTGTTTGACAAAGGTACACTTGCGTGATATTCATCATCTTCATCCGTGTAGCCTACCGCCGTGTTCAGAATGACGGACATCTGACCCTCAAAGAAACCAACACAGGAATACTCCGTGATTTCTAATACTTGTCCGTAATACACTAAAGATGCTAACAAATATTCCAGAAAGTTTTCTTTATCTGGGATATATAAAATCGAGAACTTGACGCGTACCAGAGTATTTTTGTCGGAAAAATTCGTTCGAAAACCTTTAAAAATCTTGTCTTTAACAGAGACACCATTGGTGATAGCCTTCATAGTGCTACCATCATCCAGAAACTTAACCTCCAACAACATGTTACTGTCAGAAGGAACCCCATAATAACTAATGGGTCTAACGCCGTGTAGAGGACCACATTGGGATTCAATGGCCTCGTAAGCCTCGAAACGATGCTTGAATACGGTAGCGGGGAAAGAAAACAAAACAGATCCATCAGTCAACTTTTGCTGTACGATGGACATCGCTTGTTGTGTCAAGATGAGAGCCTCTAGACATTCATCTTCGTAAATAATGGTACTTGCACGCTTGTATTCAGAATCAGTCTCATCCGAGACATGTATGGGACGAAAAACCTTCTTGGCGTTACAAACAGCTGCAATATCTGCCCAGGTAGAATCTGGTGAAATTGACATAGTTTAATGATCGGGAGTTATACGAAAATCTTTTCACAAATGTGTTGAATGTCGAAATTGAAGACGAGATCAAGGAGATGCACGAAAGTGTATTAATTCAAACAGATGGAGCAGAAGGAGACGAATCGAATGCACAAAAAATTTGAACGGATAGACAAAGATTTGATAACGGATGGATGCGAACAAGATTTTGGATGGAAATACCTTTTTTTTTTTTTTTTTTTTTTGTATTAACAGTGAGTTTATTTAGCAAGTTAGATATAGAAGTAAAAAAGGGAAAGCTAAACTATTTCCACCATCAAACATTTTACCAGCCAAATGGGAAGTCGGAACTGTCACCGGTAATGTACCCTCGTCTTCTTCAATTTCCATGGACACCGTTTCTACTGTTGTGGCGTACTTAGACGTTGAAGAACCACTTTCAGCAATCTTCGAAGGCTGGTACGCATCTGACAGGTCTGTATCCGAATCGGAGATAACCTGTTCAACAATCGTAGGCAGCTCGATATTAGATTCCTCCTTAGGAGTATTGACTTGCACTGGCTGAAACGTTTTCGTTTTACAAAACTTCGCGGTATGACCATAACCTTGACAAGCGAAGCACTTGGTTTTGGTCAATTCGGGACATTTGGAGCGTACGTGACCGGCGTGGTGACACCAATGACAAACGATAGGGGCACCTTTGAAGGATGCCGAAGCAAAACAATCCCATTCGAACAAATATAAATTATTCGACAGCGGCTCATTGGCATACTCTCCATTATCATCATCAGAATAACCGGTAGTCGTATCGAGTATCAGTGATAATTCGCCTTCGAAATATCCACCACAAGTGTACTCCTTGACTTGCAAGACTTCTCCGTAAACAAGAAGAGACCTCATTAACTTTTCAAGAAAATCCTCCGTATCAGGAATATATAAAAGTGATATCTTCACGTGGGCAAGCTTCTTCACTTCGCTATCATTTGAATGGGTTCCTTTGATAACGGTGTTCTTGATTGTAACACCAGAAGAAATTGCCTTGTCAAAACTTGAGTCATCAACAAATTTGGCTTCAATCAAATGATCACCATCTAAGCTGGAACCATAATTACTGATTGGGCGGAAACCATGGACAGGACCACATTGCGTTTCAATAAGCTTATATGCTTCGGTACGATGTTGGATTAACGAAGCAGGAATGGAGAAAAGAGCGGAGTCAGGTGTCAGGGCCTGTTTCACTATTTCGGTAGCCTTCTGCATTCTGATGAGGCCTTCAAGGTCTTCACTTTGGTAGATGACCTTACTTTGTAACTTGAATTGAGAGTCCACATTTTTAGGGACAGATAAAGGACGAACAACTTTCTTGGAATTACCACGGGACACGAATGTTGCCCAGGAATTGTGAAGATTTTCTGCCATTGTTTAATAATCCAGAAAGAAAATTAAAATTGGAGATTGAGAATTGAGAATGTTGAAATCTTTGCCGGATTGGTTAAATGTCGCGATAAACGCTGAGATCGAAGAGATGGAGGGGAGCGTAATAAATAAAAAAGATAGAGAGGAATCGAATGCAATAAAAATTTCTGATGGATATATAGAATTCACCGAGATATCGTTGAAACAAGAGTATGGATGCAAATACCTTTTGTAAAAATTCTTTAAGCGAAAGAAAGCCGTTTTTGGATGCAAATACCTTTTGTAAAAATTCTTTAAGCGTTGCCAGCTAAAAAACATGATGCGCTAGAAAAAAAAAAAAAAAAAAAAAAAAAAAAAAGTTTTTTTTTTTGTATTAACAGTGAGTTTATTTAGCATTGAAAAAATTATAGAAATCGAAAGGGAAAATTAAATAAAATTATTTTTTAACAACCTTTGTCTTCGTGAACAAATTATGACCTTTTAAATTGGATGGTGTGCGAACCACCAATTTGGGAAGCGGACCTTTAACGCCTGATTTCGGGACAGAATGCTTACCTAAAACCGAGCGCTTGGCACCAGCAACTTTTATAGCGCCACTGGTAACTTCGACCATCGGACCAGCCGTCGAAGAAGCAGGAGTGGTAGTATTCACGTGATTGTCAACCTCCATGGATACACTCGCAACAGTGGTTGCAAACTTAGAAGCTGCAGAGCCACTTGGTTCAAACTTGGGGGACGTAGACACGTCAGAAATATCTTTGTCCGAGTCAGACAGGACTTGAGCGTGGAGGCTCTCAACGGTGGGGGAGGAAAGATCAGTTGAGATCTCATCCATAACAGGCAGTTCTGTAACACCAAGATTTTTCTTCTTACAAAACTTGGCGGTATGTCCACTACCATGACACGAGAAACATTTGGTTTTAGCCAAATCCGGGCATTTGGACCGTGCGTGTCCAGCCAAACGACACCAGTGACAAACCGTGGGTGCACCTTTAAATGTTGCCGAAGCAAAACAGTCCCATTCCTCCAAGTACAAATTATTTGTTAGTGGCTCATTCTTGACCTTGTCACCAGAAGCATCAATATAGCCAGCCGAGATATCAAGGATAACCGACAGCTCACCTTCAAAGTACCCACCGCAAGTGTACTCTTTCACCTGGTACACTTCACCGTAATAACGCAGAGATCTTTTGAGATCCGCCAGAAACGTATCCTTGTCCGGAATACGCAAAAGAGTCATCTTGACATGCACAAGTGTATTGTTGCCACTAGGAACAGAAGGAGAGCCTTTAAACAACAAGTTCTTGTAACTAACACCGTGAGTCATTGCCTTTGTAGTACTTGTTGGCATTACAAACTTAACTTCAACCATGAATTCACCAGCAGAGCGAGTACCATAATTGCTAATAGGACGAAACCCCTGGACAGCACCACATTGGGCTTCAATGAGTTCATAAGCTTCTGTACGATGCTTAAAAATTGAAGCGGGAAACGAAAACAATACAGAACCAGGCGTCAGTGCTTGCTTGACAATAGACGCAGCTTGACGTACCATAATTTGATAGTCAAGCTCAGGATGATGGAAAAGGGTGTTACTTTTCAACTTGAATTTAGAATCAGTCTCGGCAGAGACAGGAAGAGGACGCAGGACTTTCTTGGAGGCACCGCGAGAAGCCACAGTTGAACAGGAAACATGATCTTGAGTTGACATTGTTAAATGATCCAGAGGAAAAATTAAGAATGTCGGTTTTAAATGTGCAAATACGAGAGAATGTTTTCACAAATGTCTTAAATGTCGAAATTGAAGGCGAGATCGAAGAGATTGGTGAAAGCGTAGTAATTGAAAAAGATAGAGCTGATTGGGACGCGCCGAATACAACAAAAATTTGAACGGATTGAACGATTTTTGATGACGGATGGATGGGATAAAGATTGGAAAGAAAGCTTTTTGTAAAAATTCTTGGGTAAATCTTGATACACGGTCGATTTACACGGTCGATTTGAAGTACCGACCCAAAAATATTAAAAAGCATGACGTAGACATTAAAAAGTTCAAAAAGCGTGACGTAGACATTCAAAAGTTCAAAAAGAGTGACGTTTCATATTTGAGAGATCGTGTACTGAGCGTGTATTTGAAAAGTGCGGGGAAAGGGAAAAAAGATACAAATTTGGGAAAAAGGTTTTTGCATATAAGCAGTATCAACAAGAGCCATTCTTTGGTTGTGTGCTCCAGTATTTGCTTAAACAATAAAGTTTTGGCATTAAAATAGTTTTCTGAATTCTGCAAACAAACAAAGTGTTTCGTATGGATTAGTTAAAAAGGTACCCAAATTAAATAAATTATGAACAATTTGTAATTGAATTTGGCATAGTTTTCTAATGCAACGAATTGAAGATAATCAGGTAAAAAAAACATAGTGTGTGTGAAGTGATTAAAGCTAAAAAACATTAACTGTTAAAGTAAAGAATCTTTAAAATACGATACGAAATTAAGAAAAAATATAAATAAGACATATAAGTAATACGAATTTTTATTGAGAGTAAATTTTTTTTTTTTTTTTGAAGAACTAAGAAAAATTGTTTAAGGAAGCATTTAATAAAGGATTGCATAATCTTGTTCGCTGCAGATATCAGGGTATGATCGTCTTAAACGATCATGATCCATATCTACAACAGGTTTTTCAAATTTTTTTATACGTCCTGTTGGTGTACGATGGAACTCGACGACGTAGAAATGTGATGACGAGTAAAGAAGCGTAATTGGTTTTTCAACATTTTGAAGCGGCATGTTGATCAACGGAAAAAAAACTTGTGCCTCACGATTCTCTCTAAATTCTCCAGTTTCTTTCAATGGATATTTGACATACGAAAAGAGGATTACCGGACGTTCGAATGCATCGGCTACAACCTGTGGACAGCTGAACGTACTAAACCACAATATCTGATCCTCTTGGTTGAGACATGGTGATTTAGTAGAGTTCAACCGTTTGACCATCTTGATTCTTTCCAATTCGACTACCTTTTCATCAACTGGCTTATACAAGGTATCATGGTATTTGAGGTAGGTTTCAAGCATTTGATGTTTAACCTTTATCCATTTACTTTGGTCGTTAAATACCTCTAATGCTACAGCTCTAAAGCCACAATTTCCATCAGCCCCGACGTCATGAATTGCAGCAATGACATTTTTAGGTTGGATATGAATCCAATTAAATGCTACATCCTTTTTGGCATTACGGTAAGAAGTGACTCTAACAATCGTTTACATGTAAGTTTATATATAACGTTTTTTATCTGCATTTCTCGTACCGATCATAATGCGATGTTTCTTTTTCAATTTTCACATCACTTTTGGCATAGTTGGGGTCTTGAGAAACAAAAAGGGTCAACTTTCTTTTCTTTTGTTCAAGAGCTACCTCTTTTTCTTCGAGAAACAATTTTTTTCTTTTTCTTTCAAATTCTTCCTCTTCCTTTTCTTTTTTCTCCTTTTTTTTTATCTCCTTCAGCTGGTGTTCGTCGAATAGCTCCTTCGCAATCTTCAGTCTCTCGGTGCTACTTTTGATACCACGCTTCGACTTGCGTCCCTTTCTGTTTGTATTTACAGATGGGGGTTGCAGCTCGTCCATTTTAATCACTGGCTCTTTGATATCCAAATCGGCCTTTTCCAATACTTTAATAGCATCACTTACTTCTTGTTGCGTTCCCAAAGAGTTTATTTTGGTAAACATACCATGCAAAAGCTTCTCAACACGGAGAATCATCCTTTCTCTGTTGTTCTCTGGTCCCTCTTCTGTACGTTCTATAACAATAAAATATTGAGCGTTCCTATTTTTTTACTTGTGGAATAATTTATTTAAAATTACCTTTGGACGGCAAAGGTGTGTCATTTTTAGCTGGCATACTTTTTCCATCCTCATTGCAGCACTCTTCTTCACTTTTTTCATCCTCATCAACTTTTGTTTTATAAAAAATATGAATTTGTGATTGCCAGCTTTTTATTTGTGAACAAATTACCTTCCTGAACCCGAATAGTGGTATCTACAATTTCGTCGTCTATTTTTGTTTTTGTTTTATCTATTTAATTTTAATGCAGCAATACTGTTTCTGTTTAACTCACCTTCTCTATCAAGATCATACCTTGCTTTTGCTGCATTTGTACTCGTAACTTCGGCCTTGACTTCGTTTTCCACATTCACTTCGTCTATTATTAAATAATTGGGATTATAACTTTATTAGTTTTCTATTTTCTTAAATTACTCACAATATTATAGGATATAATTTCATAAAACTTTTAAAAACACATATCGAACAATAATGATCATCACATACATTTAAGCAACACAACAAAAATTGTAGTGTACCATTTATAATATATCACAATTGATGAAGGATTTCGTTTTATTTAAATATATTTACCGAAATAGCAATACAACAATATACAGGTATATCATACCCCCCCCCCCTCATTTTACTTCCCATAACTGCAAGATAAAAAAAGAACTTACCGTTTTTCTTCTCGCTAACATTCTCGGCCATGGCTTTACCTTCATCTTTGTTTTCGTTAGCCTCTTCGTAATCTAAAAGGCAGACATCATTAAAACCATCTATATTTGCAAACATGTGTCTTTCTTTTCTTCTTCTATACAATACCTTCATCACGCTCAAATCTCCAACGTTCATCTACAATCGACAACGGAAGCACTCCGGGATTGTTACTGATAATACAAGGGCATGGTAGATTATATCTAACACGATCCCAGCAGTTACAGTCCTTGCCTTTGGACAGAAACGAATCTTGCAGCGAAACAACAAGGTTTGTTCTTATCTTATCCATCGCGAAACGGACAACTTTAAAGGCAAGATCTTTAAAGCGATACTCACGACTTTCATCAAAAATAACAGAGCTGATACTTATTCTTTCTATTGCCAATCTTCTGTACCTATCTTCTCTCTAAAAATTAAAAGTTGGATCATGTTATTTTAACACGTTTCCGAAGACAAATAATTGTAAATCGATCATACCTTTTTTTCGTAATACGCATGCATACGCTTGGTTGTCAAGCTCATCCTCGAAGCAGATTGGCTTCCCAAAGCTTTCTTCAATCCAGAATGGAAACTTTCGGCTCTACCAGAAGTTCTATTTCCCATATGAACATGTTGGTTGGCATAAAATCCAGCCCATCGTTTCATTTCGTCCTCCTTCATCAAACTAAAATAGCAAAATTAATTTTGATATATAAATTAAGAGCATGTATAATTACAAATACTTACACGTCTCTCAAATAAGACAACGCTATCTGTCCATCTTCCTTAAAATATCCAACAGTTGTGATGATCTGCTGAAAATGATCACTTGCTTTTTGAAACGAAGTTAAATCCGAGCTATTCATCATAGCCTTAAATTCACTTTCGGCTTCAGCGACACGCAAATTATATTCTACCGAAGTGACCTTGCCAATAGCCAGCTTTGTTGACATCGTATTCCAAAGATGCCATGAGCAAAGCAAATGCTGGCTTTCTGGAAAAACTGTCTCAATTGCATTGCGTAAAGCTTGTTCGTTGTCAGTGACAATAACGGAGGGCAACTTGAAACTGGTTTCAGTCGGCCAAACAGCTTCCCTTAATTCTTCCAAAATCCATTGGTAAGTATCCTCAGTTTCGCTGTTCACAAAAGCGGCTGCAACGGAAAAGGTTTGTAAACGGTTTCCTCCTTTGACTGAGGAGGCGTTGCTGGTTCCAACAATGTTGACGAGGGACATTTTGTGGGCATTTGTCTTGTAGGTGGCGTCAATTGTTATAGCCTCGGGCCAGCGTCTAGCTTCAGAAATTGCTTTTTCGTGAATAAAAAACATTCCCTTTACTTCTTGGTTTTCTTTGACCTGGATACGAATAACGTACCCAAGATTTTCCAGCTCGGTGATAAGTGAATACATCTCTTTTCCTCCATTGTCGTTCAAATACAAAGATTGGATGTTCTGGATATCTTTTTTGATTATATTGTTCACATTCAAAGCTTTTAAGGTCTGATAACGTATATATAATGAGCACATGAGATATTTTGTGTTATTAATAAGAATACTTACATCCATGACACTGGTGACAGGGTCTTTATGTCCACTGGCCAAAAGAGAATAAATTCTGGCCATAATTTCGGGGCTTTGCTTGCGATGAATGGCATATGTGGTAACGTCTTGTGAAATTGGATGATTGTGGATCATATTATTCTTGGTTACAGTTAATCCAAACAAAGTAATCGAAGCAGGGCAAAGAAACTTTTGGGTACTTTTTTGATAGACTGTTTTTGTTTCAGGCACGGAAGAAACGTTTTGTGAAAGGTCAATAATTTCTTCGGTAACCTCATCAACAAGTGTCGTATTTTTCTTTCCAAGATCACGCTTAAAGCCACCGTGCTTACAGATGTAAGCATATTGACCTTTACCAGGATGAGAGTCTTTAATGGAAAAGACTACGTTGTATTTTTTTCCAAAAGTACTGATCGCATTCTTCAGTTCTTCCCTTGTCTCAAAGTGTTTATCTACAGCAAATGTACGATTGAATTCAGCATGCATGCTGTCACGCACATTTCTAGTTTGAGAGAACATTAAAATTAAAGCAAAGAGAAAGCAGTAGTGCCAAATTTGTTCATTACCCCACATTTTTCAAATACACGCTCAGTACACGATCTCTCAAATATGAAACGTCACTCTTTTTGAACTTTTGAATGTCTACGTCACGCTTTTTGAACTTTTTAATGTCTACGTCATGCTTTTTAATATTTTTGGGTCGGTACTTCAAATCGACCGTGTAAATCGACCGTGTATCAAGATTTACCCAAATTCTTTAAGCTAAAAAAAAAAAAAAAAAAAAAAAAGTAAAATCCAAAATCTCCAAAAAAAAATAAGATAGAATCACTTCAATCATCAATTTTAAGCGGCGATTCGGTGGTTGAATACATTTAAAACCCGGTTTGTCACAACCATACGATTTAAAACATGTGCATAATTTTCTTATGTTATAACATTCATTACTTTTAGTACAACATCAACACATGTTTTTGTTTTTGTCATTTAGTTCATATCGACCGTTTTTTGCCACATATCCCGGTATAGCTATTGAATTTTTTTTTATGTGAAAATCAGGTGATAATCACGTGAATAACATGTCAACTCTTTTTGAGAATTCCATAAGAATTCTATAGGAATTTTGTGAGAATTTCATAAGAATTCCATCAGAATTTCATAAGAAGGGTTTTTTTTTTTTTCTGTATTAACTGTAAGTTTATTAGATATATAAAGTAATTATAAAATTAGCCCGAAGGTGTCACTAATCTATCACTACGAACTAAAGGGGACTGAGTTTCTAAAGTATCAGCAATAAGTACCGAGTGATCTTGTTGCAACATGTTAAGAGCAGCTTGAGAGTTCCACAGATCACCATCAATCACACAGCGCAAATGGTATTTCCAAAGTGTTGCTTATCCAGAGCCAAGAATAACAAGTATATCCGACGATAGAGGCTTTTGGTTGTTACCGCAGGGAGATACAAAGCCAGACCAAATATCAAATTCAGTCTCGAACGTGTCACCAATGTTAAGAAAGGAGATTACGTTAAACCAGTATTGCCACTTATCGAAACAGCCCACCACAAAATGGAACAAGTCTTCGGAAGAAGAGATTAAACAAATAGGGCAGCTCGCACAAGGATACTTAGTAGGAGACCACCGGTGTAGTTTAGCCCTATAGCCTATACAATCTTGAAGTAGCCGCCACCAGGGAGTGAAAGCCTTACTTGTCATATCCAAGGACCAAAATAGCCGCCATAAGGAAGGCCGAAGTAAAAACCGGGTTGGAACCACCTGAGGTATGACGGCGCGAATCTCAAACTTCGCTCGATCTGGATGCGAAAACCAACGAAGATCACCTGGACGTATACCAGAAACAGTAACCATGTTACCACGGCCTTGGGGGATAGTCCAATGATAAAGCGCTGGAAGCCATGCCGGGAGCAGAACATCGCGGTTTGATTGATTATGCAAAGCTGTTGGAAGAAAACCAGTTGCAGCAAACCAGCCATCGGATGGATACAAGGCTCGTCGAACGTCTTTCACTTTACTAGCATTGACGACACGTGTATTTAGCAAGTTGTAGGTAGACTGATTCCAAGAGAATATATCAGAGACCAAATACCGAAGGGGCACAGAAGAAGGTACCAGTGTCGGAGACCAAGTATTAACTGCATCACCAACAGTTACAACACATTGAAGAGGCAGATCTAGAAACCATCGAGCGGACCATGTGTTGGACAAGGACAGTGGAGGAAGCTTCTGTAGAATTTTGCGTAATTGAGCCAAAGGGACTATCCGTTTGAGTGAATTTTGAAATTTAGTCGGATATAAGAACAAGGGTAAAATTGAGGCGTGACCGGTATATAACTGGATACCACGAACCACCAAGGAGAAACAAAATCAGTTGTCTTCGGGCCGGAGATCAACCGTTGAATGTAAATGTGTTGCAAGGCTAGCTGTTGCAGATGCACATCGCCTAAGCTAACACCACCGAATTTTCGCGGGACATACATAGTAGACATCAAGGGCCGGGGCCAAAAACGAAGTAAATATCCACAAACCAGAGCTTGGACAGAATCGAGCCACTTAGGTGGTACAAACACCACACGCAAAATGTGCCAGAGCCGACTTAAAAGCAGAGAATTGGCAACAAGACCAGATCCACGCAGAGAGAGATTGCTCTGACGTAAGATATTCGAGTGTCGCAGTATTTTAAGCCGATCTTCATCCAGAAACGCATCGAGCTGCGTTGAGGTATGGTATAGAGGGTAACCAAGATATCGCACCGAACCAACAGAACTAGAATCATGCCATTCGAGCTTCTATTGTCAAGCAAGCACTGACGCCTGGTTCTGTTTTGTTTTCGTTCCCGCTTCACTTTTTAAGCATCGGACAGAAGCTTATGAACTTATTGAAGATCAATGTGGTGCTGTCCAGGGATTTCGTCCTATTAGCAATTATGGTACTCGCTCTGCTGGTGAATTCATGGTTGAAGTTAAGTTTGTAATGCCAACAAGCACTACAAAGGCAATCACTCACGGTGTTAGTTACAAGAACTTGTTGTTTAAAGGCTCTCCTTCTGTTCCTAGTGGCAACAATACACTTGTGCATGTCAAGATGACTCTTTTGCGAATTCCAGACAAGGATACGTTTCTGGCGGATCTCAAAAGATCTCTGCGTTATTACGGTGAAGTGTACCAGGTGAAAGAGTACACTTGCGGTGGGTATTTTGAAGGTGAGCTGTCGGTTATCCTTGATATCTCGGCTGGCTATATTGATGCTTCTGGTGATAAGGTCAAGAATGAACCACTTACAAATAATTTGTACTTGGAGGAATGGGACTGTTTTGCTTCGGCAACATTTAAAGGTGCACCCACGGTTTGTCACTGGTGTCGTTTGGCTGGACACGCAAGGTCTAAATGCCCGGAGTTGGCGAAAACCAAATGCTTGTCGTGTCATGGTAGTGGACATACCGCCAAGTTTTGCAAAAAGAAGAATCTTGGTATTACGGAACTGCCTGTTTTGGATAAGATCCCAACTGATTTTCTCTTCCCCACCGTTTAGAGCTTCGACGCTCAAGTGCTGTCTGATCGGACACAGATATTTCTGACATGTCTACGTCGCCCAAGTTTGAAGCAAGTGGCTCTGCAGCTTCTAAATTTGCAACCACTGTTGCTAGTGTATCCATGGAGGTTGACCATCATATGAATACTCCCACTCCTGCTTTTTCGACGGCTGGTCCGATGGTCGAAGTTACTAGTGGTGCTATTAAAGTTGCTGGTGCCAAGCGCTCGGTTTTAGGTAAGCATTCTGTTCCGAAATCAGGCGTTAAAGGTCCAATTCCCAAATTGGTGGTTCGCACACAATCCAATTAAAAGGTCATAATTTGTTCGCGAAGACAAATGTTGTTAAAAAATATTTTTTTAATTTTCCCTTTCGATTTCTATAATTTCTTTCATGGCTAAATAAACTCACTGTTAATACAAAAAAAAAAAAAAAAAGCTGCCCTATTTGTTTAGTCGCTTCTTCCGAAGACTTGTTCCATTTTGTGGTGGGATGTTTCCATAAGTGGCAGTACTGGTGGAAAGTGATCTCTCTCCTTAACATTGGTGACACATTCGAAACTGAATTTGATAGTTGGTCCGGCTTTGTATCTCTCTGTGGTCAAACCCAAAAGCCCCTATCGTCGGATATGCTTGTTATTATTGGTTCTGGACTTGCTACACTTTGGAAATACCACTGGCGTTGTGTGGTTGATGGTGATCTGTGGAACTCAGAAGCTGCTCTTAACATGTTTCAACAAGATCACGCAATACTCATTGCTGATACTTTAGAGACTCAATCCCCTTTAGTTTGTAGTGATAGTCTAATGACGCGTTTAGGCTAATCTTAGAACTTCTTTATATATTTAATAAACTTATAGTTAATACAAAAAAGAAAAAAAAAAAAAGCATGTGAATCTCGGGATATACAGTGCGCGCCAAAAGTCTCCCAATGTTTTAACATTTTTCAAAGATGCTTGAATCAGTCGATCCGTTTCTACTATTTTTGGCTAGCATTTTTACTATATACTTATGAACGCTTTGGCCACGTTCCGTAAAAATTTAAAACTCTTTTTAAAATAAAAATAAAATTACAAAGTTTGGTCAAGTCAATAATTTGATTGGGACACTTTTGGTGCGATTGAAACTTTTATTTATATGTGTCGATAATTTAACATAAGGATTGATCCAGTAACCTTTGGCCCTTATAACGTCTTGACAACGTTTGTTTACGCTTAACAAATAAGCTCTAACTTCTTCAGTTGTGATTGCATACCATGTTTCCTTGAGCTCTTTGATTGAGGTAGGCGGCTAATCATAGTTACTATAAAGGCGTCGTTTTAGTAATGACCAGACATTCTCAGTTGGGTTTAGATCCGGAGATTGTACCGGCCAAACCGTGGTTTCGAATTCGTGATTGTTAAACCAGTCGGTGATTTAAATAGACTTATGCTTCGGATCGTTATCGTAGACAAATACGACATCTTTTGGATTTAAATGATAATCCTCTAATGTTCTGAGAAGATCCTCTTGCAGAATAGTTTTGTATAGCTGCTTGTTCATGTAACCGTTGATAAGGACTAAAAATCCAACACCTGACCATGTGATGCAGCTCCAAACCATTACACTTCCACCGCCATGTTTTACAGTTTGCTGCACGTGTTGCGGTTTTAGCTGTGTATCCTTTTTTTTGTAGCACCAATATATCCCATCGTACCCAAAAAAAATTATTTTGATCTTATCTGACCAAACTACGTGTTTGCAATCGGTTTCTGTCGACGTAGTATGACTTTTGGCAAAGGCTACTCGGTCAGCGATATTTTGTTTCCTTAGCAATGGTTTCTCCGGCTTAATTAATGGGACAATGCACAGTGATTTAAGTAAACGTCGAATGCTCGTTGCACTTAAAGAGACTCCAAAGTCATTTGAAAGTATTTGAGAGACCTTGGAAGCCGATTCAATTCCGCTTTTGGTCACTACAAGCTTAAAGGAGCCATTGCCTTTCCGGGTTAAGTCACAAACGGAGGAGCGATAAACTTAAAAAATATGGAAGGCTATTAGTGGATTTTTTTAAAAAAAATAAATAATGCATATTATCCCCAGCTTCCTCATTTAGGACAGCTTGTGCATCCTTGTGATTGATTTTGTTTTTTTGAGATCACCCTCCCCTCAATTGCCCCCGAAATGTCCCCCAAATGTCCCCCCAGAAGGTGACCAGAAATTTCCTCGTCACATTTCTTTAAAACACTTCATTAACAAGAACTACTCTTTATTGTAAAATAAGCCATAACCGATAACAATTGACGATACGGTCACGGGCTTGCAAGTTTTTTCAAGTCCTAGTCAGTGTTCAAGAACCACCAATAGCTACCAAACTTTGACTTATTCATGCTTATAAACATCCAAGATTCATAACCTGGAACATGTATTAATTATATACTCATCATATTAACTCCTGCCGCGATTATGGACTTCTTTTTCATGGCGAGAAAGATTGCTAGGATTTGCATAATTAACCCTACAAACCGTACAGAAAGAAACACTAGGATTGACCGGGAAGACAGATTGAGACGTAGTCAATAATTTAGGTATAAGTGTTTGATACGTGAATGTAAGACTCGAAAAACAAGCTTTCGTTATTTTTTTATTTAAATCTTTTACAATCTGCAGTGTAACGAAAGGCTGAAACATAAAAACTCAAAAAAAAAGGAAAAGCTTATCTTCTTCTTTCTCTTTAATTTCTCTTTAAAATGCGATAAATATATCCCAGGTAATCAAAGTGTACTTTATTTGCAGATAACCAAGGTAATATAATCAATGTATATAAAAAAACACACCATTATTAATTATTCTTCTCGTTATATGTCATGAAATTAATATCGGCGTTTTTGAGGGTTTTGTTAAGGTAATATAATATTTACTTACTTTCTTGCCAATGATATTTTTCATAAACTTTAACACGTTTCCCCTTTTTTGAACAGTTGCAATTCATAGTAAGGTATGTGGATCTTATAGTTTTTATATCACACTAGCCTCAAACACCAACCTATTTTTATAGTTGTTTTTATCACTTTTGGAACGATAGGGTATGTGGTTTTTTGAAACTATACTTTATATTATTTTCTAATATACTTTTAGTGATAGTATTTTCCGCTTTTTTGTTTTATGGCTTCACTTCTATGGCGTTACAGGATATTTTCATTCAAAGCAGTTGTTTTTTATCATATTTTTAAGCCAATAAAAAGTTATTGTTTTGATATTACATAATACGCCTTTTCAATGCTTTTTTACCCCCGAATCGACCGCTTAAAAGACCTCCCCAACACCCCCAACACCCCCAGCTCCCATCCCCCCATTTAATAGAAAGGAAATCTTTTGATCCATGATGTTTACAAATAAACTTGCAACCAAATCCCCTGCGTGTGTAGCTGAACGATATATTCTATGTTTGTGCTGGTGACTTTGGGGGGACGACCATTACGCGGCTTGCTCTTCAGACCCAGTGTAATCTGACTAATTCTGTTGATAGAACTTTTGCTAACACCAGTTTTAGAAGCAGTCTCACGGGCACTGAAACCATTAGACAAGCATTGTACTACATAGTTTCTCTTGGATTCTGAAATCTGTCGCATGTTTACTGTCACGGACGGAACAGGAACAAGTCACAGAAACTACTTGGCGACACGAGGGGGGCGATTGGTTAAAATAAAATATGTTTATTATTAAGAGGGGGAGGGGGTTAGGACTAAGATCCAGAATAACGTTTTTCTAATAAATAACTAGCATCTATTTATACTATTTCTTATACATGGGAAAAACTACGATGGGTTTAAATTATAGATTAACAAGGGACTTTACGGAACAGATATATGAATAGATTATTGACAAGGATGAGTAATTGAGATTTGACGAGTAGTAACAGGCTGGATTTAGTTGACATTGAATAATGTGATGGTTCGGGGAATATTTATGGTTTGACACGGGCGGGAAAACTGGATTAGGATTAAAAGTAAAGGATGATCGGGAAAAGGTTTACTAAGGTTGAGTCAGACAGGAAGCGGGAGTAATATTGAGAGGCAGATTAATGATATGTTTTACAAGGAGTTCGGTGGCGGGCAAGATATACTGATATGATTTTTGGTACAAGGTTTTACAGGGAGTTTGGTAGCGGACAAGATATACTGATATGATTTTTGGTACAAGGTTTTACAGGGAGTTTGGTAGCGGGCAAGAGATACTGATATTGATTTCTAGAACAAGGTTTCACAAGGGGTTTGAGATCATGGTTAAGTTATGCAGACAATAAACAGGGCGAGTAAGTTCATGACATTTACGTTGAAAAATAATTTTACAAAAACATTTTTAAAAAAATTATTGTTAGAGGTTACTGAACATCTAAGCTACTTACATAATTTTTTAGAAATTTTTTTTATTCGGTTTTATGGCGTAGAAATCAAAAAACAAACAAGAAATAAATCGCACCAAAAGTGTCCCAATGATGTGATTATTTTTTAGTCGCCGTAAATTCCAAATAGAGCTAACCAAATTTTTATTTTTGGAAGTTACAGCTGACATGTGAAAGTATTTATGATGTAATTTTGAGGCCAAAGATATCATTAGTTTGTGTGATGTCATCTTGGAAAGCCTAAAATTTAAAACATTCGGACACTTTTGGCGCGTACTGTATATTTTTATTTCTTTTAGGTGTTATTTATCAAGAATTGTAATTGTAACACATGTCATCAGCAAAATTAAGTCTTGATTCGTTTTGCAGTTATAGCTTTAACAGCTGCTGTAACTTTTTCTTAATATATACTGGATATATAAAAACTCTGGTGACTGGAATGCTATTTCTATATTCGGTTTACCTGTTCAAACGATAGACTGTAATATTAAACAATGAACTATACAACTCGAATTTTATGCGTGATTTTTGAAATTCTCTTTCTTATTTTTTACGTTGCGGTGAAAAAATACATACCGATTTTGAAAACTCTGTTTAGATTCATTTGCTATTGTTCTGGTTTGTCTGGTATTTCTTTTTGTGGTAGAATAGCGGGATCTGCTACATCTTCTTTGCTGCGCCAGGTGTGGCTTCATTCTTCTTTAACCTCCAACCGCGACTTAATTTGCCAATCAGTATTGCCACCTGCTTCTCGGCTTAAGCTTTTGAGTTATGCCGATGACTTGGAAGTCTTTCGCTCTGTTCTTGGAGAATAAGACATTTTGTTGAGTTTTGATTCGATGGTCGGCCGTTTAATGCCAACCTTAATCTTAAAAAGACTGTCGTGATATATTGGTCGGGTGTTCGGCCTGCTTGTGTGGTAAACATTACTGTTTCCGCCAATGACGAATAGCACGAACCTTTTTCTTCGCGGTCTGTTCGGTGTTTAGGCTATCTCGTTTATCATACATCCATCTAACTAGAGTCATTGTTTGGAAGGTATTTGGCTTAATCTACTTCGGCACTCAAAATTGCCTCTTTTAGGCTGGTAGCCAATTTTCTTAATCTTAGTCTACTCTGGCATCTTCTTGGAATGGCTCCTATATCGACTAGGTGACTTTACTCGATCAAATCAAATGTTTGTGACTACCTGTCACCTTTCTGACCTAGGACGGCCAAATCAGCTTTGATCTTAGATAGTAAGTTTGGTGGTGTTGCTCTTGTGGATGTCCATGATCAAAGCTTTAGTCTTTATCATGTCTGTATTCAACGGTTATAATTTGGTCCAAATCCAAACGACATTGTATCTCTCTGGATCCTTCGTTATTTCTGTTATACTCAATGCATTCCACCATCATACCGTGGTTCATGTTTCCGACCAAATGTAAGGCCTTGCTGAGACCTACTCCGGCTCTGGCTCCGGTTTGGGGTTTGCTGGCAAGATTACCACTTTGGAATTGTCTCCTACCTGGTGTTGTCGTTGGTACTTGGATGTTTAGCCACATTGTGTCGTTCCTGTTTTTTGTGGTGGTCATTGGTTAGTCTGCCACTTTGATTCTGTCTCGTATTCCAGTTCGGCATCTGGTATCAGATATTTACTCGTGGCTTTAAGAGGAAGGTAGTCTGGCCTGTAATCACGTGTCAATTAAGCCCAAAGTGCGTGGGACTATTTGGGCTTTGTTCCCGTTCTAAGGTTCGCTTGCTACAGATTTTCTTCCGAATGGCATGGTACCTCGGGCTGAACAGGATCTTGTAACGTTCAGTTGGTTGCCTGAACTTTCCAAATGGTGTGTGAAAAATAGTGGAGGAACTTAAGCACTGTCACTGGTATCATCTTTCCTGAACGTTGTAAAAATTGGCATCCTGATCGTACGAAGTTTTACTCCCCTCTTATTGTTCCAAGTTTGTCACAGTAACATGCTTATTTAGACCAGTTTTGTGGTCTTGCTTCTGGTCTTCTGATGTCAGAAGTAAAGCTTCCACTTCTGGTGGCTGTTAATACAATTGTATTGGATATCTTGTTAAACAGTACAGATGGTAAGTGATAAATTAGACTTGTGATACTTGTCCCATCTACCATGTTTTCTCATTTTAAGTGCTCACAATACTATAATATGGTAGTACGAGTTACGTAGAGAGTGTCGTGAGTTCAGACTCCGACATTCAAAATACTCTCATGGTTGACCCACCCGATTGATACAGATCTTTAGTTAACAAACTTTGCCTTATACTATACACTAGTTCATATATTCACTACATATATACTAAGTATCTTGGCAAAGTACTATTCCATTACTAAATCATAAATACCAAAATAATATAAATACTCTTCCAATGCATATTAATAAACGATTATCTTAAACTGAAATAATAATCTTAGTATTAAAGTACTCTAAACACTTTGTCTCTCTTTCTGATCTAACCTTCAAAGACCGACTACTCAAACTTATTTTATGGAGGAGTAGCTGCCCTATTCCTGCGCCCCAATCATATTAGGCCTTCACACCAATGACCGTCCGGACGATTTCGATTTCCTATTATAGATTCGCAATTTAGAAATAAATAAATCGTTCGACCAAAAAGTGCAGGACCTACTCTCGTCCATGTCCTCGATTTCGACCCGGTTCTCAAAAAGGAAAACTTATTTCACGAGAAATCATAAATGATTGTTTTTATTTTATTTAATTTGAATATGAACTTTCATCTCATCTTTGTTCCTTTCACTTTCACTTACACGTAACTAAATTCACCTGTAAACCATGTTCAACGACAATTGTTTTTCCCACGTACCCGGTGCGCAAAGTTTCAGAAGAGCCCAACCTGAAAAACAACAGCAACAGCAACAATTGTGACAACAACAACCTCAACAACCTCAAAAGAACCCAACCTGAAAAACAACAGCAACAGCAACAATTGTGACAACAACAACCTCAACAACCTCAACAACCTCAACAACAGCAAAAGCAACAGCCTCAACAGCAACAGCGTCAACAGTGTCAACAGCAACAACCTCAACAACAGCAACAACTACAGCCTCAATAACAACCTCAATAACAGCCTCGACAACATCCTCAAAAGCCTCAACCTCAACAACAGCCTCAACAACAGCCTCAACAACAGCCTCAACAACAGCCTCAACAACATCAACAACATAAAAAAAAAGTGCGGCAGCAGCAAGGCAATCAACACCCTCAATCCCAATGTAGCCGTCATGCTTTAGTTAAGGAAATAGAACAAATGGACTTTGGGTTTGACGGTTGTTATGATTCTGATCCAGAGCCGAGAGGTCGGTGAGGTTGAAGACGGAGAGGGCGAAGATGGGGAGAATCAAAATTCAGCAGCGACGACCACGAGAATATCCCTACTACAAGCGCTAATAATACCACCAACAGCGTCGGAACACGACATTGGGAAGAGTTTCATATTAAATTGCTTCTGAGCGTTATTCTAAAAGGAATGTTCGTAATAATATCAGAAGAGCCAGAAGGAACAACACCTTGAAGGGTAGTATCTGGTCGCAAACCGTAATAGATCTGAAAGAACATCCTCAGTTCAGGCAATGTAGTCGTCAATTTCAAAGCGAAATGAATAGCAACAAATGCTCATCCAAGTATCGAAAGTTGATAAATAAGTATAAGTCACTTGCTGATCGTCAATCGCGCGAAACTGGACGTGGGGCTAGTCGTAACTCTAATAATTTGGTTCATTTTGAATCACTTAAAGCAATATTGATTAGCGATGCCAGTTTCAATCCACCCGTCACCGGTAACTCTGGTTCAGCATCTACACATGGTAGCATTACCACTTCTCTTCCAGAAATGGATTTGTAGTCCGAGAAAACATTGGTTTAAGAGGAGAGGCTCGGTTTGAGGTAGTTTGAGAAACGATTGATTCACATACCAGCAGCAGTAGCCCTAACCGAACCCGCAACACCAACAACATCAACAACACCAACAGCACCGACAATATCGACAGCACCAACATTCCGAACAGCAGATATAATTGCGCTTACGCTGATTCCAATATTAATGCTGATAGACAAAGAACCCCAGCTCCATCAAATCATCGTTTATCAGAAACAGGTTCGACAAATATAAATGAACCAGTAGGTTATACGGATACATTGGCACACATTCGTGAGCTTCATGGCAGATGAGAGAAGAATTGTAGAATTCAACTATAGAACTTGTTGCGGCCCTTCTTGGATGGGACGAGAAAAGGGCCATGAAGAGGGCTAGAGCAGGGCAGGAGATGGAGATAATTTGTCGACAAGAACGAGACCGTCAAGAAGAGATGGAAATGCCGCGTCGACAAGATAGAGAAAGACGAGAGGATATGTTGTATCGTAGATCCCGGGATGATTCTTTGCTTGCCGAAGCCAAAAGAGCAAATAACATTTACGAATATAGATCAACTAAACAATAAACGTTCAATTATATTAATTTATTAAAGTTCATTGCGGACTTCCGTACGTCTTTCTTCTGCTTTTCCTTTCAGTTCTCGCGTAAGTGTACTCATCTCTCTTCCACTAAAATTACTTTCGGACAGCTGACTGATTGTGAACTTGGCACCATCATTTTTATCGGATAATTGAAATGCATCCAACATTCCATCATTGCCGTGGAGCATTTCACCGCCATGAATACACAAATTGTGTAAAACGCATCATGTCATAATTGCTCTACAACACCTGTGTGGTGATCTGCTATATTGTTGCTACATTAAATAAATCCATATCTATGACATCAATACATTAAGAATGATTAAGGAATCAATTACCCAATATAGATAGTTAGTACTATCATATCACAAGGTTACAAGAACACAGTGACAAAGGCTTACTAAAGATATGGAAGTACAATGTGTCTAAGATGACAGTAATTCCAAGTGTAACATATTTACAAAATAAGCAGTTAAAGGTAACAGGATACACACTGGGAAAATGATAACAACTTCAAAGATACACTAAAGATAGTGGTACAGCAGATAGTCTTTTTTATATAAATACTTGCTCATTTTATTTCATAATAAAGACAATCTTATAAACAGTCTCAAATTACTTATATACTGCCTTATAATTTTTACTTACCTCAAAACACAATAACTTGTTTACATCTTTCAAGTACAAATGCTTGAAGAGAAATTTCCATTTCATCACCAGATCAGAGAAAGCATTGATAAGCAATTGTCTTGTTGTCGAATGTATTTTGTTGTATATTTTTTGACTAGCTGTGAGCCCGAGTGATGACTACCTGCCGCGAGAGGCGATAAAGGGAGTTAGTAGCTGAGGCAAGAGAGGATACGCTAAGGGGTTTCAGTTCTTCCCCGCCGGATTTACACATTTTTTTTACATATTCGGTGAAATAATTAAGAGCCAATGAAATGCATTTGACGTTTTACAAGAACTGAACCCCCAAATAAAAAAAAAATTCACATTTTTTCAAAGACCTTTATTTTTGAAAATCCGAGCCAATGAAGCTGTTCCTGAGTTTGTAACTTCATTATGAGTAATAATAACATTGAGTGCATTGTAATTATGACACATCAAAAGGTTAATTGAGTATGACACATCACAGCGCAATCGCAGTTATGACACATTACGAGTATTTTATATACACGTAAAATCAGGTATAAATAATAAGGGTCTACTGCCAATTTGCATCACGTCATATCTGTATTTACCACATAAATGTCTACCACCAGAAACCAAGCTTCCACCAGCAAGAAAGCTTCCACCAGCAAGAAACCTTCCACCGGAAAGAAAGCTTCCACCAGCAAGAAAGCTACCAGCAGCAGCCAAGATTCTACCAGCAGCAGCCAAGATTCCCCCAGCAACGAAGCTACCGGTAAATCCAGTGTATCATGGTACGGTGATCAGCATCTTACCAAAAACAAGTTAAACCCTGACGGATTGACATCAATTGATATCTTGATGGGATGGATCACAAGAGATGGAAACTTCAGTAAATGGAGAGGCAAAAAGAACGACGGAATGACAACCGCTACCAACAAAACAATACTCTGTAGTAATATTTTTCTAGAATTTGAAGCTTTGGGTGTCACTTTTCGTTATCGAAACGCAATTCGAGCAAAGATCGACAGAATTATTGTAGCTTATCGAAAGGCTGAAACATGGAGGAACCAAACTGGCCAAGGTATCCTTGACAGTGCTACTGATGATAATCGTGAAGAAAAGGAGATTTCTGTTTTAGGTAAACCATATAAACATGCATAATATCCCTGAACTTATTTGAACAAAAAAAAAAACAATTAGACACTTGCATTAAGAAGTGTAAGGAGTACAATGAGATCGAGCCATTTTTCCGCGACTCGGCTAGCTCTGTGATTATTCCTTTTAACGAAGATGCGGATTATGAGAACGTTGAAGAAATAATGTTTGGCAACGATGACAGCGAGAGCGATGCTGAGTTTGTTCAGCACGACGAAGGACCAGTTGCTGATGTACAATCAGTTCCCACCGCCACTCCCATCACTCCCACCCTTCCCATCACTCCCACCACTCCCACCACTCCTACCTGTCCCACCGCTCCCACCAATTCTACCGCTCCCACCAATCCTACCACTACCGCCGATGCCACCACTCCCACTGCCCCTACCACCGGCGCCACTCCCATCACTGCTACCATTTCTACTAATAATGATGATGCTCCTTCTGTTGTCTCTCTTGTCCGATCAACATCGAGCAAAAAAAAAAAGATCGACAAGTCATGCCATTGTGGACGCTGTTCTGGAGTCAAGTGAGAGAGCAAATGAGTTGACAATCAAAAGAATGAGAATTCTTAAGCGCGAGGTCAACGATCGAATTGAGCAAGACCTGTTTGACAGGAAGTGGCGTCAAGAAATGGAAGAGAAGAAGAATGATGAGCGTGTTCGTCAAGAGGCAAAGGATGCTGCTGATCGAAAGCACCAAGCAAGGCAGGTGGCCATGGCCAATCTTGGGTTGCTCATAAGCAATAAGATGATTACGAAGGAAGAATACTTCGCGGAAATAAACAAGTTAAATAATCATCATTAATTTTTTTTTTTCAATAAATAATTTTTTTTCCATATGTTTGTTATTATTAAAATGATGAGCGTGAATCAGCTAACTTAAATGACATTTGATGACACATAATTAGTCGGGGCTACACAGAAGAAGGTACGAGTATAAATATTCAGCTTTTTTTTTTCGATAAATCCTATTGAATATTTCTTAAAAAAGATAAAATGCCAGCTGTTTCTGATCGTCAATTATTAATCAAAGACCTCCAAACAATGGTCGCCTTAGAAGCTGTACGTAAGAATAACAATGATGATGAAGATTGTGTCAATGTTGCGCCTGCTGCACTGGTTGCTTTATCAAGTGTTTTATCCAACCGATATTTGTCAACAAGAACCCAAGTTCCCAAGATCAATCTGTACTCCAAGATTAGTTTGTTGAGAAAGCTCGACACAGGAAGAGTACGACAAGAAATCCGAATGAGCCTCAATTCATTCAACGCGTTACATGATATGATCGGAGACCACCGTGTATATCGCAGTACTGGAAAAAAAGCTCAAACGCTTCCCAAAATTCAAATGATGGTTGCATTGGAGCGTCTGGGTGTCCACGGTAACGGTGGTTCCGTTGGAAAGATTGCAAGAAGCGTAGGAATTTCTGGTAAGTTTTACTAAAAAGAAGCTATGTGACATATCTGACCAATTATTCACAACAATAGAAAGCTCAGTCATAGCTTTCACAAGAGATTTATTATTGCTGTTATTGGTTGTCTTCAGAAGAAGTATCTTAGCTGGCCTGATGCAGCTGAACGAGTACAAATCAAGCACGAGATTGAAAAAAAGTACGGCTTTACTGGGTGTGTCGGTTTTGTTGACGGTTCCTTGTTTCCTTTGGAGTTTAGTCCTCGATGGAGTCGCCAGGATTTTTATTCTCGTAAATCCTTTTACGCTACTACTGGTGTGATTGTCTGCGACCACAACAGAAGAATACTGATGGCTCATACCGGGTATGCAGGTACTTCTCACGACTCCCGTGTTATGAGTGGAATTCCTATTACTCTCAAGCCGCAGGAAAAGCTGTCCAATGAAGAATACGTTCTGGCCGATTCTGCCTATGGTCAAACTAAACAGGTTATCCCTGTCATTAAGAGGAATAAAAACCGTGAGTTGAATAAAGACGAAAGGGACTTCAACTTTTACCATGCGAGGGCTCGTGTCAACATCGAAAACTGCATCGGAATGCTGAAAAGGCGGTTTCAGAGTCTGCGTGGCATGCGTTTGCCAATTGAAGGAAAAAAGGACGTCGCCAAAGCCTCAATGTGAATTCACACTTGTTGCATTTTGCACAACTTCCTACTCGCAATGAATGACAAGGTGGACAGAAGCTGGGTTTCGGAGAGAGTTGCTTCTTTTGTTGACGACGACAGTGACAGCGAAGATGAAGAAAATATCGTGCTTCGACAAGAACGTACTCGTGCTTTGTTGGAAGCACATACCCCAGAGGAAAAACGTCTCGTTTTGAAAAGAATTTTGAAAGAGTTTTACCAAGAATAAAAAAATGAAACCATGATTTTTCGTGTTTTTAAAACTCAATTATGTGTGAAAAAGTGTAAAAAAAAAGTGTGAAACGAAAAAAAAAACTTGACATGGTCAAGAGCTCCTACACTTTTTTTTTTGCACTTTTTTTTATGAAAAAATCTGGTGTTTTTGATTGGTTAATTTAAAAGTCAGAATGTGTAAAAAAAATGTGTAAATCCGGCCGGGAAGAACTGAAATCCCTTGCTGTATCTAAACCATATAACCAATTAATAGAGAATTAGAGAGATACTTAAGAATAATGTAAAGGTATGTACCTCCAACTATAATACTTCTCTCCAAGCAAGTGGTAGCTCCACGGAAGATTAGATCGTCGTAAAGAGGACTTCTTTTAAATACTCGTCCATCGTAAAGGCTGCGTAAACACATTATGATAATTAAGTAAGACGTACACACTCCATTTTCTAAACTTACCTGGTAAGCCTGTTAAAATATTGATGAATTGTTTCTGGTCATCGCAAACTGCCATAAGACTCATACCGATTCCAACTTTACGATCGGCAAACCGATCGCCGTCATTGGTTACTGAAGGCTTATGGATCGGAAAAGTTTTTCAACGATGGCACAAATGACTTTTTTTAATCTCCGGTGTCCCTTCTGGGTATCTTTTGCAAATCCATTCGCAATTGCTCTAGTTTTTGAACAGTCGCAGGCCAAGTAATCACTCTGTTCATTATATCAGTACTCATAGCGCCGGTGAACCTGTCCGTGAGATTGTTATAGCTACCGTGACTACAACCAAACTATTCCTTTGCCATTCGATATCCAAAATGAGTGCTGGAAAATCTCCACATAACAACAGCAACTTGCTCCCACACAATCCAATAAGTATCTCTCTCGGAAAGGTTTGCATACTGTTCAGTTTCACTAAGCTCGTTAACAAGCAATTCGAATGTACTTAAGGTAACCCGATAGTGTTCCTTAAACGTGCTTTCTCTTACTGCTCTACCACTGCTGTCGAGAAGAGGTTCGTCGATCAGACTAAGGTGAACGATAGTCCATCATTGTTTCTTTGCTCTACCATCGTTACTTCTCCTTCTGACTAAAGTAGCTTCCATATGTTCGATACCGCTGTTTTAAATACAGAATAAGACATCGTAGTTCATAATCTGAATGTTATTGATAACATTGTGTACAATTCGTTGCTGCAAAATTATTCTACATTTGTTCAAGTTCTCCTCGTCATTCTTTTTTTTGTTTAAGGTAAAGTCGTCTTTTTCTTGCTGGTCTCTGCTGCTGCAACATTTCGTAACTTTCGTCCTGTTCCTCATCTCGAAGGGAGCAAATGACTTTAGTAGTGTTTAAACGTGAAACAATGTGGCTGTGTTCGTTCATTGGATTGCTGGAGTAACTGGTGTTATAGATATTATTCATTTTGATATAATAAATTGAAAGAAAGATCAACTTAAAAGCAAAAGCCTGTAGGCATTTTAGAAAAATGCAAATGATTCGGGTACCTGACGTCAACCAAATAGTTTATTTGTAGTACGGATTACCAAAAATTGAAAAAATCATTTTTGGAACAAAAACCGTCCGGACGCCTAAAAACCGTCTGGACGGTCTTGGTGTGAAGGCCTATTCTAAAAAATTTGTGTTTAAATCTCTTCGCTATCACTCTGAATCTCTGTGATTAACAATTAAAAACTTTACTATCGTTACCTCGAACTCTGCGTCGAATTCTACCCTACTGGCTTCACTCCTCGGACAACTCTTGTCTGAAAGTCACCTCAACAACTCTGTAATCTCTCTTGTTTATGACCCCCAAGAAAACATCAATCATTAGCTCAACCAATACGATCTCAACTGTAAGCGCTTGGCTCTTACCAATGATCAAAAACGTATCCAAATCGGTAAACATTTGTCAGCCGAAATTTCTAATTGGGTCGCCCGTACACCTGCTGCTGCCACTTGAGGTTCCTCAAAACCGCTTTTGTTAATACCTGCGGTACACCCGCTGAAAAATACAAACGTCTACTTCGTCGTCGCCTAGAATCCTTTAAACAAGGGAATCTGTCTTCTCACCGTTTTGCTGTCATGTTTGAATCCATTGTGCTGGAATTCGACATAGATCACATATTAGATGGTCCTACTCTACGTATCATCTATCTTCGTGTTATGTCTCCAAAAATCCGCACAATAATCCTGTTCAACATCGCACGGAAACTGTTATGGGAAGCTATTTCCAAATCAGCCATTGCATTAGAAGAATCTGTGTCTGGATGACACCTTACTTGAGTTCGCTTTGTCGTATTTGTCGCCTAATTCCACGAATACAATTAACTCTTATCTAGTCACTCAATTATAATACATATAACCTATGTATTATAAGTACCATATTGCGAATACATTCCTATTGGTACGACACAGTACCAGCTCCCTCATATGTCAAACTGAGATCAGATTTCATAATCGTTCCTGGGTTGGTCGAGTAGCTGCCGAATCTTCTAGTTTCTCATAAATTTATTTTAGTAATCCAATCAAGGACCCTGTCATTGAATGGATACACCTAGGCTAAAAAAACTTACTTTAACAGAGTAAATGCGGACGAATGGGCGAATAGTCGTCTGGGGGTAAGCATTCGTTCAAATCTGAGCGGATAGTCGTCCGTGAGCGAGTATCCGTTCATTTTGGGTAAATAAACAATGGTACACAAAAAATAAAATTACTTCATTTACTCAAAAAGGGTAAATATTCGTCCAGGGGTAACTGTTCGTTCATTTTGAGTAAAATATAAAGGTTGCACAAAAATTTAAGCTTTTTTATTCGTTCCATTTACCTGCAGCAGACGAGTATTCGTCTATGGGCGAGTACTTACTCACATTGGGTAAATAAAAATTACTTTATTCGTTCCATTTACCTGCAGCAGACGAGCATTCGTCTATGGGCGAATACTTACTCACATTGAGTAAATAAAAATCACTTCATCCGTTCCACTTTCCTGCAGCAGACGAGCATTCGTCTATGGGCGGATACTTACCCAGATTGGGTGAATAAAAATTGAGATCCAAACCTTAAAATTGCTCATTCATTCCATTTACCTGAAGCAGACGAGTATCTGTCCTAATGTCCTGTTGTCAAGAAGCCGCGTATACAAAAACATTTATCTGCCTCCAGTCATCCCTCCGTCGTAACACCAACCTCTAAAAAGTACATATAAACGGAGTCTTTTTTTTTTCCTTTTCTTTTTCTTTTTCCTTTTTTTTTTTTTAATATCTATTTTTTATCTTTTTACCTCAATAAATCAGTTTTTTTTTTTAAAAAAAATTTACTTTTATTCGTTCTTGTTTCTCGTAACCATGTAACTGAATAAACGTCTGGGCTTACTTCTTTTGCAATTACACTCTGGTAAACTCACCATTCCATCTCTGAAGTCCCTCCCCTTACTTATCTCTCTTTAAAATCAGCATAGACAGGTGTATAAAGGCCGTGCTTGCAGTGTACTACGCCAGTGCTATAAGTAAGTGTTTTTTGTTTATGGCTTTTCCTTTCTCTAATTATCTCTTCAGACTTACGCTTCCTGCTTTTACCGTTGTGGCGGCTACTCTGTTTAGAAAAGGAATTAGTACGTATCAATTTTGAGTCTTCTTATCATAAACTAACCTAATATTCATTTAGAAAACTTTGGTTATCTCCCTTGTTTTTAGATTATACGTTGCTTCCTACACAGAATAATCAATGACTTCATGTTATGCCATGTACCGTTTACTTTTTAGCTCATTTAAGTAGTAATCCTTCTACATAGCAATTTGTCCTCAAGTATCAAAATATAAATAAATCTTACTTTCATTCTTTTAAATAAAATATATAATCAACTTTTAAAACTGCAAACCAATTTTTTCAAACGAATGAATGTATTAAATAATTCAATATGTATAAACGAAAGTTTTTTTATTTCGCTGAAGGCTGAAAGGGAGAGCTGATTTTAAAATATACACCCCCTTAATTATGCATTTAATCCGGTTTTTTTTTTTTTTTTTTTTTTTTTTTTTTTGGGTAAATGGGTTAACGCTTACTATAAATTCGTCTAAACGAGTAAATGGGTAAATTTACCCAATTCGTTTTTTTTTGGGTAAATGGGTAAACACTTACTAAAAAATTCGTCCAAACGAGTAAATGGGTAAATTTACCCAATTCGTTTTTTTGGGTAAATGGGTAAACACTTACTAAAAAATTCGTCCAAACGAGTAAATGGGTAAATTTACCCAATTCGTTTTTTTTTGAGTAAATGGGTAAACACTTACTAAAAATTCGTCCAAATGGACGAATCAGGCGAAACATTATAGCCTTGGTGATAAACTTTAATGCTCTAGAAGTGCCGGATATGGGTCAACTAGCTCCTTGTATATAACAATAAGCTATGTTTCATATGTAACTGATTTCTAAATCTAATTCTACCATTTCCCAGTTTGCGGGTAAATAGTCAATTCGATCTGCGCAGGAAAAATCTTGAAGTAATAATTGAATATAAAAATGACCTCTATTTGTATCATGACAAACTCTCAAACTTATAATAAAGGATTATAGAGTCACATTTTTTTACTTGCTTTATTTTCCAATTACATTTCCCTTTTTATTCTCAATTATCACACGCTTTTGAAAATTTAACTATCCAATCAAGCCCGGACATCTCTCCTACGGCCTTCACTACCTCCAAAAATGACAATCCAGAGCCTATGGAAATCCATGCCATCAACTCTAATACGTCTAGACCTTTTGGTAAGACTAGTTCTTCCTCTTTCCCTCGTCATGGACAATCAAATGGTTACAAAAAACCCAGAGAAAAGGCCGATCCCATGCGCCTTCGAGCTTCCGATGGTCAAGCCATCTGTGGCGTTTGTAAGAAAACTGGACAATTGACCAAGACACGTTACCAGAATCCAGAATCATCCCAATCTAGACAAGTGCATAGCTTAACACCTACCAACAACGCTAAATTCGCTGCCGTACCCATCGAATCCAATCCTATTGCTGCTCAAAACGTCGCCTCCATCCACAATCTGAACAACGTTTCGGAATGTAACAGCGTCAATCTCAGTAGTGTCTGGTGTTGAACACCTCGGTTACTCCAAACTATTAAAGGCAATTTAGTCCAAGCTCTTGTTGATACTGGTGCTACCATTTCCGCCCTACGTCAAACCATCGCCACTCGGTTAGAATTACAATACGATGTCTCAAAAGTCGCAGCTTTTACCACGGCTGCCAACAAACACGTGTTCTCACTTTGTGTCGTTAAGATCAAGGCTATGCTTGATAAGATGCAAGTCCGGCTATTTTGCCATGTTGTCAACAACTTGGCACATGAATTAAGTTTCGGTTATCCGGACCTCAAACATTACAAGATCACCATTGATACCGACAGCGATGAAGTCCGCTTCCCAAAATTCGTATCGACTCTATCTCCTGCTGCACCTGGAATCTGTACCATGAATTCGTGTCTTCCATTGCCTGGCCAATCACATACTTACGTTGATATCAATGAACCACCTCTGCGATCCGCTTTCATTTCGACCCCCAATGAAACTGTCTTGAAAAAGATGCTCTCTGTTGCTGCAGGCGTAGTACAATCTGATGCCGACGGAATCGTTACAGTTAAACTGGCTAATTTAGATACAGATATCAAATATTTAAATAAAAGACAGCATATTGCTAATTTCGAATATTTGTCACCAACCCTAAAGTCGTATTCGAACAGCGACACTTCTATTTATAATATACAGACCTCTTAACAATCTGCAACAACGGAACCATTACCAGATTTTTTGCCCTTCATTGGCAAATACCTATCTGATACAGAACAGTCGGCTATGACTTAATCATTACAAGAATTTCCAGATTATTTTAGCGCTAATCATCTTCGGTTACTCCCAAGACTAAACACTCAATTGACACACGTACGACAAGATCCTTATCCCAACATCCACACCGTGCATCCACTGGTAAAAACTAAACCATTGGCTCTTTATTGGACTATATGTTACAACAGGGTATTGTTTAATCGAGTGACTCACCTTGGGCATCACCTGTCGTACTTGTTAAAAAACAAAATGGATCTCCTCGGTTCTGTGTCGATTATTGACTCATCAACGTGCTACCCGAAATGACGTATATCCCTTGCCACAAATCGATTATACTATACATAATCTTGGCAACGCAAAAGTATTCTCAAATTTAGATCTGACCTCCAGTTATTGGCAGATAGAGCTTGACGAGGAATCCAAAGCAAAATCTGGTTTCATCTGTCGTAGCGGTTCGTACGAATTTATTCGCATACTTTTTGGTCTTACAAACGCACCTGCCAACATGCAGAGACTTATGGATTCGTTGTTAGCTGGGTTACGATGGCAAGTCTGTTTAGTTTACCTGGATGATATTATCTGTTTAGTCCAACATTTCAACAACATTTACATGATCTCCACTCTGTCTTGTCTCGATTATGCTGAGCACCTCTCACGGCGATTCTTAAAAAGTGCAAGTTTGCGAGCGATCGTATTTCTTTTCTTGGCTATGCTATCACTCCTGATTGTCTAAATACAGATCCAGAAAAGATCAGTGCGGTTTCCAATTTCCCGAAACCATCCGACATAACTAACCTTCGCTCCTTTCTTGGTTTGACAGGTTATTGTCGTAATTTTAGCAGTAAATTTTCTGTTATTGCCGCTCCTCTCGACGATCTTATCCAGAAAGATGCTACTTAGTCTTGGAATTCCTCACAAAAAGACGCCTTTGTCACTTTCCGTAATGCTCTGACTTCAGCTCCTTTCTTACGCTTTCCAGATTTCTCTCGTGTATTTGAATTACACACTGACGGTGGTTGTACTGCCGGTATCGGCGTCATACTTTGTCAACGTAATCCTACCAATAACCGTGCATACGCTGTGGCATATGCCTCAAGATCCTTGGCCCCTGCGAAACGAAATTATGGAGTATCTGAGGTCGAAGCACTTGCTATTGTGTGGGGTATCAAGAAATGTGCCCGGTACCTTACTTCTACCAAGTTCACTGTAATTATGGATAATCACGCCTTACAATTTTTGAGCAATCATAAATTTACTGATCTTCGTGGACGGTTGGATCGATGGACTCTGATTCTACAACAACATGCTTTCGACATCATATATCGCCCTGGCACACAAAATACAGATCCTGACGCCCTTAGACGTTATCCTTTTCGAAAAACATCCACCACAAGCATTATTGGCGTCTTTTCATGCGACTAGTATCTCCTCTGCCCTATCAGAAGATCCATTTTGCTAAGAAACCCGGCAATCTTCTCCCTGTCAGGAACGGGGCGGGGCAAGAGCAGAACAGAATGATTATTAGTGTGATGACAAGCCAAGAGAAATTATATATCTATTAGTATTAGCGAGGCTTTTTCAAACCAAACCTCCGTTTCGGTAAAAAGTTTGACGTTCGCTGCGCTGCGGTAAATTTTTGACCTGCACTATGGTTCGGTACGCTGTGCTTTGAAAAAGCCTCGTGCTGCCGCAGGCCTGTTTTTGGAATCAAACACTTAACATATATTGATTAAGCATTAAGCCCACGCGCTATTATAGCTTAAGCTACACTGCTAATTATCAGTTTGACACTGGAGAAAACTTTGATGTTTCTCATTACATGTTTAAATAAAAGACGATATCCCTATACCCAGGCTAGAAAGTTGATCTACGCAAAAAGTATTAATTGTTTATATATCTGATTAACTATTCTATGCGCAATGTTTTTGCTTCATAATGAAAGACTTCATAATCCAAAATATTAATTTCAAAGGCGACCCCTCCATCGACCTAAAACAAACAATTTTTCAGTTCTTCTCGAATAAAAACATATTGTTTATGAAAACGTGTTCATAGACTGTTTCTCTAATCTCGATAATATAATGCTTAATGGTATTGGCTGCTATATTGGGGCGAAGGGAAATCTTTACCACGAAACCTCCATAGTTACTTTTTTTTTAATGACTTTTTCAGTTAAAGTCACTTTTATATTATGACTCTCTCCAAAGTAGTGAATTTTTATATAAGCTCTTTTTTTCATTTTAATGCTTAATGTTATGGGTCGTATTCTTAGGAGGAGGGTTTTTTCCAGCCTCTAATTTTGTACCTCTGCTAAAAAATATTACGAAGTAAAAAAAAAATAATACTTTAAAAACATAGGGCTGTAAAAAAATCCACGCTGTAAAAAAAAATTATACTCTAAGATATTATGCCGTAAAAAAAAAAGGAACATTGTTTTTCAGAAGGTAACAATTTAATGCTAAATATTATGGGCCCTATTCTTGGGTGGAGGGGTTCCCCTTCACCCCAAACCCCCGCTCCCCCAATTATTTTATCACTGCTTAAAAATTACGTTGTTTTAAAAAAAAAATACTGTTATTTAAGATATCAGCTCTTTCATGCTTAATACTATGGGCCGTGTTCTTGGGGGAGGGGTCCCCCTCCCCCAAACCCTCCTCCCATCTTGCGGGGGAAACCCCTGCACCCCCCTTTAAAATCTTAACTTTTGTAACTTTTGTGACTGAAAGTTAGCTCGCCTTGTGACTGTTTTTTACGATTTCTATTTTTTTAATATTGCTAATATATATATAAATATGGCTCTTTCCGCTAAACATTTAAACCCGCCCGAAAAGGTAATTAACGATGTTAAAAAATCCAAACCGATCAAGCCAGGTACATGGGACGGATACCACAAAAATATCTATCTTATCAACAGCAACATCAATTGAACAAAGTCTTACAACTTCTTCACGCAATCCTTTCATTAAAGGAACCTTTCCTAACTCAATTTTAGTCCACATTTCAATCGTGACCGATCAAAAAATGTTTTTTGAAGAATTTATGACCCACTTCCAAAATGGGGATAATGTATGGGGTCTGGAAGCTAAACTTTATACTGAAGGCAAAAGGTGCTTTGCTGAATTTCTCATGGCAAAAGTAGCAGCTGACTCAATCATTGAATCAGGTTTCAAACTTCCTTCGTTTGAACATACCTTCATGGGCTTTTATTCACTATCAAGTGATTCGAAAATCATTAAAGTTTCAATCTCCGGACTACCCTTTCAGTATGGTCGCTCATCAGGAGGAACGGATGAACTCAGGGCAGACCTACAGAAAAATATGTCAAAGTTTGGCAAGATTGTTGACTGTGGAATCACCCGGGGTATTGCATGAATGTTTACGGGAAATGGATATGCTGTCCTGGAAGTACCACAATCAACTTCCAAACACGACAACAACACTGCCATTCGACACGAAGTTCGATGGCAATACTCTCATTTAAGCTTTGACAGTGATCCAGTATTTGTGGACAGCCAGGACCGTGATACAAAAGAAGCAGTAACAATTTATGCTACATGGGTAAATGTGAAGCCTTACTGTCGGTATTGCCACAAACAAGACCATGTTATTATTGACTGTACGAAAATGAACATGTCAATCAATTGCTATAATTGCAATGAATAGGGACATATTGCCAAGAGTTGCCCAAGAAAAATTCAACTCCAACAATCTCTAACAGTAAGAGACGTAAAGTAAACCAACCAATTCAAGAGGAGGAGTCGAGCCGAGAAGTGGAAGTAAATGATTTGGTTAACAAAGAGCAAATACCTATACAGGACGAAGGAAGTGAGGAACAAGTGGAAAAGACAACAGATGTTAAAAGCTTCCTTGTCAAAAACACTAGAAGCAATGGGCTGAAGAAAGTGGACATATAGAAAATTCAAAGGTAGACTCAACAACAACAGTACAACAAAAAGACCAAGTATGTAAACATTGTCAATTACCAGGACATGTACGCACCACATCAAAAAAGTGTTTGATAAATCTATCACACCCGGATCATGAAAGCTTTTTACTGAGTTTACAACGACAACAACAAGCCGTAAATAATCAAGATGAAGATGATAGTATGCGAGAGATATCCGACACTGAAGAAATTATAATGGAGGATGCCAATCCTGGGTCCGAAACCGAATCTCTTTAATCAATGCATGAATTTCGAAATAAACCGCACTGCTAATTATCACAACGACGATGTTTCCTTAGAAACATCAATTTTAACACCTGACATCTCTTCCCTCTCATTCTCATTGAAAATAGCCACTATAAACTGCCGTAGCCTTCGCAAATCGTGTAACCCAACTTCGAGCTCACATTTTATACGCTATCTCCGCACCCATAATCTATCAATATTAGCACTACAAGAGACCCATGCCACTACACCGGAGTTAGAGGAATTGTTTCACATGCAATTCCAAGCCACGCAAAGTATCTGGACTCCTCATTGTGCTTTAGTATCTTTCTCTTCGGACAATTCGTTTCAGAAAACTCGAAAAAGTGAATGTGGATGCCTAATAACAACCAATGTAATTCATAATGCCGCACTTTTCGAACCAATCTCTGTCTCGGTTATTTACGCGCCGTCAATTTTACACGATCGGTATCGCTGCCTGAAAGAATTTATCACAGAAACTCCCTCATCCGCTCCTCTATTGCCCTACAACGTAACAAGACTCATTCTTTTGGGAGACTTTAATTACTCAAACTCCACACACTGGTCAAGTCAATATCGTCGAAGAAAAGCTCCAAACCTGTCGTTACAATACATTGATCGCTTCTTTGTTGACGGTGTCACTCCTCATGGTGATACACCTAAGGCAACCTTTAACAGAGGAACTTCACAATCATGTATAGACTACATCTGTTTATCTAAAGATTTAGAACTTTCCAAAACTAACAGCTCAGTATCTTACATCAATCCATCTTGGTCTGACCACTTTCTGGTTACAACTAAACTACAGTTGGTCTCAAGCTCAACAAATGACTCTACAAAAATGACTGGTAAAGGAATATGGCGCGCTCAACCCCGTCTAGCCGTCAACCCTGAATTTTGTAGACAGTTATCGATAGCTCTCAGTAAACAAATCAAGTCCTTTACACATGATAGAGAAATAACTGCTGTAGATAAATGGGAACTAATCAAATTAACCACCAAACAGGTAGCTCAAAAATTTTCACGGAAACAAGCGTTATCGTTGAAGTATGCAGAGATATTATTACAAAAAAAATGTGCTTCCATCCTACGCACCGACATAACCCATCCTGAATGGGTGAATAATACAACTCCTCAACCAATGGTGATAGAAAATCAGCTATATCAGTTAGAAGTATATAATTCCGAAACACTGGCTATATGTACGTGCAGGTCTAAAATGGCGCGAACTAGGTGAATTGTCGGCAGGATATTTAAAAAGAACCATTTCCCAAAAAGCTAGTAGGAAACTCATCCCCCCTCTGGTCCATCCTATTACTGGTGACCTCAGCCTAACAAAAGAAGATATGCTGGAGGCGGGTTCTACTTTCTATACTCAATTATACACACCAGATGACATTGTACAATCATCCATAGATGAGTTATTTGATTCACTACCACCCTCAATAAGTCTATCATCCGAATCCCGCAACGAATTGATTGCCAGGATAACTATGGAGGAGATTCTTGAAGGTGTTTCACGAAGTCCAAAAAAAAGTAGCCCTGGTTCTGATGGCCTACCCTATGAAATCTTACAACTGATAATACAACAGGAAGAATGCCAGCCAATAGTATTAGAAGTTTATAATGAGCCCTCTTGTTGGGTACTTTTCCAGCATCGTGGTAAGATACTTGTGTTTCCATTCTCCCAAAAAAAAGGATCACTCGCAGAACTCAAGAATTATCGCCCAATATCGTTGATCAATACTGATGCTAAAGTATTCACTCGAATTCTCAACGCACGTGTTATAATAGAAGCAGATAGTTTGATTAACCCAATGCAGACCGGTTTTGTTCGTGGACGATTTATTGCGAAAAATGGTCTTATAATGAAAATGGTTATGGACCATGCTCGACAAAACCGTTCTTCAAGTATCGGTTTACTATTAGATCAAGAAAAGGCCTATGATAGGGTTCATCCGGAATATCTAAGACTAGTGCTCATCAAGTTTGGATTTCCAACTATCCTCGTAAACAACTTGTGTAAGTTATTCTTTGGAACACAGCTTCGCTTAAATATAAACGGCTTCATGAGCCGACCTGTACTACAAGGTCGTGGGCTACGCCAAAGAGATCCAATTTCACCGGTCCTGTTTAATCTTACATTTGAACCTCCCTTGAGGAAAACGTTAAATGATCCCTCACTAGCAGGGTTCTCACTCCCAACATCAAATGCACCATGGGTTACGCTACCAGCTGCAACCACACTCAAACTTTTGGCGTATGCTGATGATGTGATATGCCTGATAAACTCACCTTCTGAACTACACACTCTGCATCAACATCTGGAGACGTATTCTCAAGCTTCTAACGCTAAAGTAAACTTTGATAAGACCGAAGCTATCTCACTATCTGGTAAAATCATCAACTCTTCTGAGACATGGAGAGAGTCACTCATTAAACACCGTATTTTAAAGTGGCACGACTGTCAATCATCGTCTCCACTGATATACCTGGGATATCCGTTATTCTCAACAACCTCGCAGCGGAACGAGTTTTTAGAATCTTTACTCGAAAAGATTAAGAGGTCTTGCTCGCTGCATTCTCAAAGGTCACTATCGACACCAGGAAGGGTTACTATAGTCAATTCTCTGGTGCTATCAAAATTGTGGCACCTGCTAAGGGTGGTTAATGTTCCTAAAATAATTTTCAGGAAAAAACAATCTGTTATAGCACAGTTCGTATCTTTCCGCATCTTTCCGAAGCTTAGTTTTACAACGATGTGTCTACCTCGACAACAAGGAGGGTTAGGAGTGATGGACCCTACAACACAACAAAGTGCTCTTCAATTGAGATGGTTACACGCGCTTATGGTCGCCCCTTTCCAGGCCAACGGGTCTATTGCACTCCCTTACTTAGCTCAGCTCATAGCTGCACAAGCTCCACAAGACTTGACGCAATTCGACTACAGATTACTCATCATGTTTCCACAACTAAGACCTTCACCAATGAACCGTACTGATAACCCTCTATCATTAATACTACACGCCATAGATAAGATCCCAAAAGAATTTAGTCAAGTGGTTATCAATGCCCATACTTGCTTGCAACTACCACTGGAAGCGATCTATGTTCACACTGATGATATTGTTTTATCCCGGACGTCGAAAAGGTTATTAGTATCATCAACCCACACAATTGATGAAGGAACACAATGTATACGACACAAACAGGGTTCAGAAATACAAATCCATCCTACACTCAGTACAAGGTTTCTAAGACTCGTTCAAAACTGTAGAATTATGCTTCAACCGTTCTTTATTCAAACAATGATCCATCCAGGGCTGTCTGCTACGGGACAACATCTATTCGTACCTGTAACTCATGAAAATGTTGACAGTGATCCTTTCCTCCTTGCGATTAACCTGGGTTCAGCAAACCCCAAGATGAATACCTCTCCAGGACAATACCGTTCCAAAGTTTCCTCCCCAGAGGCTACCATTCGAGGAACACCCTCAATGTGGAAAAAGTTTTGGTTGATGCCTTTAACACACGCTACTCGCAACATTTGGATCCGCATTATACGTCGTAAAATTCCAGCCAAATCGACCTTACACAGACTAATTCCGTCATATTTCCAATCACCAGTATGTCCAATATGTTGTACAAAAGATGAATCGATCGAACACTTTCTCTATAAATGTCCGCTAAAAATGGTGAGCGGGATGAATAGTTGGGAAAACTACTTTTCGACACCATTTTCAATTGAAGCAATACACGAAGCTATTTTCGAACTCCAATTCCCTCAAAATAATCAAGCCTCACGCCATATAGAGCCCGCCATCATTATTGCCTCGATAATAACATCCATATGGCGTATCCACTGGACATTTGTGTTTAACACCGTTCCATTCCTGTCATAGTTATTGAAAGCCACCATTAACCGCAACATTCAAACATTCGTTAAAGAATCATTATACATAAAACATATTTCTCCTTTGCCTCTGGTATTTTTTCAAGTCTAAAAGATAATACTACAACACTCTTAAAAAAAAACAATATATACATATATATATAAAAGGAATGTAGGTAGAAGAAGGTTTATTCAAAGAAACAGGAAAAATAGATAAGATCTTGAATACAGAAATAAGAATAAATAAGCATGCTGTTATTTATATTAATTGACAGATCGGGTAAACAAGGGTGCAGGGATCAGATATACAGAGACAGATTATTAGTCATATTGAGTTTGGGACATATTTGGGGTAGCGGGCATAGATAAAGATAATTTTGGGGATAGATGCAGAGAATAACATGGGCTGATATTATTAATGTTTTACAAGGAACGTCAAAGGCAGAGATACAAAGGAAACGGGTGCTAAATGGGTTTTACAAGGACAAGGGATAACGGAGATACATTATTTGGAACAGAGACGTTAGACAGGATACAATGGTGATGTTTGACAGTGACATGTGTGACAGGAGACAGAGAACAGGAAACAGGTGGAACAGGAACAATGGGCTAGTTGGGTTTCAATAATCATCTGAGACATTTTGCATGATAATAGGCAACTGAAACCTAAGCGGTTCATGACAGTCGCTCCCTTTTAAGGCGATTGTAAAGAGCCTTCAGATGGGCAGGATGGATTATCTTCATGGAACTTCTTGACTAATTGGGTACAGTTTGTTAATTTGGCTAAGGGCTCCCAGGTTCTATCCATTGAGGTATAGCCTTTCCAATGAACTAAATATTGTAATTTGTTTCGTTTTATTCTTGAGTTCAAGACACTTTCTACAACAAACTCTTGATGATCGTCAACAATAACAGGCGGTGCGGGATGGGGCTGGCGACGTTTGATTTTGTCAGGAAGATAAGGTTCTAGAAGATTCAGATGGAACACCGGATATATTTTCATGCTATGGGGAAGGTTCAACTTGTACGATCTTGATCCAATTATGGCGATTACTTTAAATGGTCCTAGGCGTTTATAATCTAATTTCCCAGTTGGTCTTTTAGTCTTGTTATTTTTTGCTGATAACCATACTTTATCACCAATCTTAAATGTAGGACCTGGGTTGACACGTCTATTGTAGAATTCAGAATGTTTTTCTTGGGCTAGGGCAATATTAAATTTTAGCTCTTCATGCAGATCATGAATTTGTTGAAGGCGCTGATTGGACGGAGTCTGATCGATATTTGAACGAGGAAAGGTAACAGAGAGAAGAGGATGATATCCATAAACAGTGTAGAACGGTGTAGTATCGGTTGTTGAGTGTTTGGAGTTGTTGTATGCAAACTGAGCAATCGGTAATAAATCACTCCAGTTGGATTGCTGGTAGTTGATGTAGCAGCGAAGGTATTGTTCAAGTACAGAATTTACACGCTCTGTTTGTCCGTCTGTTTGAGGGTGAAACGCTGTTGAGAGATTTTGCTTTGTGTTAAGACCCTTAAGTAATGCTTGAGTAAACTTTGACGTAAATACTATCCCTCTATCCGATACAACTGTGGACGGTATGCCAAAATGACAGAATACATGAGTGAGAAATAATTGACAGGTGCCTTCAGCAGTAATGGTATTTGTTGTTGGGATAAAAAGAGCCATCTTTGAGAAAAGATCAACAGAAACGCAGATTGCTGTATATAGTCCAGAGGGTGGCAGCTGTGTTATAAAGTCGACAGAGATCGAGGACCAAGGAGTGTCCGAAATAGGAAGATGTTGGAGTAAACCGTACGGCTTGTGGTGAGAGTTCTTGTTTCGGATGCAGGTTTCACAACCAGAAGTGTAGTCTTTGACGTATTTTCGCACACCAGGCCAGTAGAAGTTTCTTGAGACCATATCATATGTTTTGCTTATTCCAAAGTCACCAGCTGCGGGGGCGTCATGACATTCGTATAAGATTTTTCTTTTGTCTCATCTACATTGGATACACAGATTTTACCTTGGTAAAATAGCATATTGTCATTGAAAGAATAGTTATTGTCAGGTTCAGGGTTATTTTGGAGATCTTTGATTATTTCTTGAAAATGCGAGTTGTCAAGGAGACCTTTAATTATTTCTGGAGTAATGTTGTTGTTTTCAGCCTCTACTGGAATGGTTGTGAGAGAATTTAAAAACATAGTTGGGTTAAGTAGTGTCATTGGTGTTTTTCCACGAGGTGTATCCCCCTCCAAAGGTCGATCTTTACGACTAAGAGAGTCGGCAGCAGCGTTGTTTTTTGCAGGGCGATAGAGGATACGGTAGTTGAAATCACCTAGAATTTCAGCCCAACGTACTTGTCTTCGGCTGAGGTTACGGGTAGTGGCAAAATATTCCAAGTTTTTATGATCTGTGAGTACTATTGTCGTTTCAGTAGAAAATTCGAGGTAGTGACGCCAATGTTTAAATGCAACAACTATCGCCAAAAGTTCCTTATCATAAATTTGGTAATTTAATTCAGCAGGTAAGAGCTTGCGTGAATAGAAGGCAATAGGGTGATTTTGACCATCTTCGGATTGTTGACTGCAGACAGCACCCAGAGCAAAATCAGAAGCATCGGTTTCAATGAGGCATGAGGCTTTTGGATTAAAATGACGGAGAACAGGATTACTTGTAATTGCAGCTTTTAAGTTGTTAAAAGATTCTTGAGCTTTGAGATCCCAGAGAAACTTGGTATCCTTTCTAAGAAGAGAAGTAAGAGGCACGCAAAGCTTAGAGTAGTTGGCTATAAACTTTTTATAAAAATTAGTCAGGCCGAGAAAAACTTGGATGTCGTGCACACTAGAGAGGTCTTTCCAATTTTTGATTGATTCGACCTTTTCAGGATCCATGGATATATTGGAGGAGCTGATAACAAAACCTAAGAACTGGACACTGGTTACATCAAATTCACACTTTTCTAGTTTCAAGGATAGGCGAGCATCTTTAAGTTTTTGAAGCACCAGACGTACATGATTGGTGTGTTCTTGAGGAGTACCGGAATAAATTAAAATATCATCAAGATATACCACAACAAAGGAATCTAGATACTCTCGAAGTGTATCATTAACAAGCGCTTGAAAAGACCCAGGGGCATTGCAAAGACCAAATGGCATGACCTTATATTGGAATAGACCATAACGAGTACGAAAGGCTGTTTTCCACTCATGACCTGGGGCAATACGAAGTAGATTGTAGGCACCACGCATATCCAACTTGGTAAAGATTTTCCCGGAATGTAATCGGTCGAGTGTTTCTGAGATCAAGGGTAATGGACAACGGTTAGGTACTGTTATTTTATTCAGAGAACGATAATCCACTACAAGTCGAAGAGTGTTGTCTTTCTTTTTAACAAATAATACCGGACTGCTTGCTGGGGATTCAGATCGTTCGATGAAGCCTTTTTCGAGATTTTCTTGCAAATACTTGTATAGGGTTTCTAACTCTATTTTTGATAAGTTGTACAGAGGTCCGAAACTTACTTCACTTCCAGGTTTAAGTGGGATAGTGTGATCATACGGTCTATGGGGCGGGAGTCGATCAGCTTCTAATTTTGAAAATACAATATCAAAATCTTCATATTTTGTAGGTATGGCAGGTGTTGATTCAGATAAGGTTGGGTTAATTTTGGTTAACGTGGTAGGATTGTCAGGTCGAGGTTCAGGTAAATGTTGGTTTATATCAGGAATATTGAGTATAGCAGGAGGTTGATCTTCGGGTATAGTTTGATTGACTTTGGATATTGTAAGAGTAGCAAGGGGTTGTAATTCAGATAAGGTTGGATCATTTTGGTTGATACGTGATTGGATTTTAGGTGTACCAGAACTGGGTTCAGAAACTGTTGTGATGGCTTGAGGATCATTGATTGGTAATGTTTCAGATACTTGATGTTGACGTGATTGATTTTCAGTTGTAACCGGAGAATATGAATCAGTGAGGGATTGTCAATACTAACTATCGAGCATATCTTAGGTGAATAAGATGCTGATATATGATATTCATTTGCATTCATACAACTCAAATTAACAGGACCATAAAAATACTTCAAATAATAATTTATTTTACAATAAGTGGAAGGATCTACATTATCAAAATCATCGCCAGAAATGGAATCAGGACTGGTGGTACAGAGAGCGGAGAGTTGTTGTTGTTGTTTCTCGATAGGGGACGCGTGTACGGGCTTGTTTTCTTTATCTTCTTTACAACCTCGCAAGAGACAAGTAAAAGCAATGATACCATCACGCCAAGACATAGCCGGGTTGTGGCGTTGAAGCCAGTTCTGACCAAGGATTACTGGATAGGCACAAGTTTCGAGATGTCGCAATGTCAAAACCTCACTGTGGTCAATGTCACGAATGTTCAATAACAAAGTGGAGGCACCAAACGTGACATGTTCGGAGGAGTCAGCCAAACGATAAGTGGTACCATTGGTTTTGACCGAATGGAGATGGTGTTGCTTGACTAGGAGGAAGAGATGAAGGAACCAGAACTACCAGAATCAATGAGTGCGGTCGTTTCAACAAGCGTGCCTTCGGAATCAAGTATAATAGGGATGACTATGAGAGATTGTTCTTCGCTTTCAACCACGTAGTCGATGTCATGCTTGATACAGCTTTCAATACCTTCACGACTTTTCTTGATGGTTTCCTTGTACACAGCTTCGATTTCAGCGGAGGATCTCTTGATTGAAGATACATGATTAATTTGATCTGGGACAACACGAGTGATAACAGCAGCATAATTTTTGAATGGAACAACTTCCATATTAGCATCGTTCATCAAGACAGTTGAGATAGACGGAGCCACGAATGGTGTTACGGTTCTTGTTAGGACAAGAAGCAGCAAAATGGCCGGGCATGGCACAGTAGACACATAGATTTAATCTTCTACGTCTGTCTTTTTCATCTTGGGTTAATGGACCACGGGGAAGAAAATTGTTATTGGTAGAGACAGCATTAAGATCCATGGGTGTTGTTTCAGGCTTAGTCACATATCTTGGTTGGACCGGACGGGGTTGGTTTCCAAGTTTCTGCTTGTTACGAGCAAAGAGGCGATTATCAATGTCAATGCTGATGTTCATCAAATCATTTAATTCCTTGATTGGGTCACGGCGTGCGAGTTCATCCTTGATTGTATCTTTCAAGTTTAACAGATATTGTGATACAAGAGCATCGTTGTTCCAAGAAAGCAAAATTGACAATCTTCTAAATTCGGAAGCGTAGACAGCAGCGGAGCCAGTGTGTTTCAAATTTCGGAGCGCACCTTCGGCATTTACTGTTGGATTGGAGTCAGCAAAAGCGGAGTACAAGAGGCGGGTAAATGTTGTGAAATTTGTCAGCATCTCGGGTTTATTTGAGGGATCAATATCCTTGATAAAAGGTAACACATAATTCAAGGCGGTACCAGCGAGGCAATTTATAGTATAAAGGACCTTATTCTCATCATTGTTGGAAAATTTAGATGAGTCAGCAAGAAAGACTACTTGGAGTTGGGTGAAAAAGGAATCGATGTAACTAGCTTGACCACTGAATGGCTGGGGAGCTTTCACACGAATGGCGTTGTTGGAGTTAAAATTACTGGCCTTGGATACAAAATTTTCGGCAATGTATGAGTGTATTTCAGCACCAAGATCAGATAATTGTTGTTGAATTGCGGCACCATCCACAGTGTGGAAACGACGGGCTAGACCATTGCGAGATCATTCAAAGAAGTAAGCTGAGTAGTAACTTGTGGTAAGACTTCGTCTTCTAGTAGGGCAACACGTTGAAGAAGGTTCTTCACAGCTTCGATCTGTTCAGCTGTAAGTTCAGGCATGACAATAAGAGAGCAAGCGCACAGAGAAACAGATAGAAATAAAAGGAGGAGTACACAAGGAGAAAAATACCAAGAGTACGAGTAGTAAACGAGCAAGAGAGGAGACGGGACCAAATAATCAAAAGTTTTTTGATTCAAGATAATGTCAGGAGCGGGGCGGGGCAAGAGCAGAACAGAATGATTATTAGGGTGAGGGACAAGGCAAAGAGAAATTATATATCTATTAGTATTAATATATATATAAAAGGAATGTAGGTAGAAAAAGGTTTATTCAAAGAAACAGGAAAAATAGATAAGATCTTGAATACAGAAATAAGAATAAATAAACATGCTGTTATTTATATTAATTGACAGATCGGGTAAACAAGGGTTCGGGGATCAGATATACAGAGACAGATTATTAGTCATATTGAGTTTGGGACATCTTTGGGGTAGCAGGCATAGATACAGATAATTTCGGGGAAAGATGCAGAGGATAACATGGGCTCATATTATTAATGTTTTACAAGGGAGTTCAAAGGCAGAGGTACAAAGGAAACGGGTGTTAAATGGATTTGACAAGGACAAGGGATAACGGAGATACATTATTCGGAACAGAGACGTTAGACAGGATACAATAGTTATGTTTGACAGTGACATGTGTGACAGGAGACAGAGAACAGGGAACAGGTGGAACAGGGACAGTGGGCTATTTGGGTTTCAATAATGTCTGAGACATTTTGCATGATAATAGGCAACTGAAACCTAAGCGGTTCATGACACTCCCCTTCGTAGTGGTTTTCTGAAGAATCCGGTGTCTCAGTTTTTGGTCCACTTCCCATATTGCCTTCTTCTCTGCAAGACATTACCTTTGATCTTGTACACGACAACCCAACATCTGGTCACATGGGAATTAGCCGAATCTTACAATGATTTTAAAGCCTTTATTATTTCCCTGATCAAACTGCATGGGTAACTTCCAAGGTAAAATCTTGCCATGTCTGCCAAAAAGTTAAACGTACAAATCAAACTCTCGGCCATACTAACTTGATTCATTCGAATCCGCCTGTTCACCCTTTTGATACCATTGCTATTGATTCATTCCGTCTTTTACCTTCTTCATTATCTGGTAATCGTTATATTATTGTCATTCAAGGTATGTTTTCCCGCTACGTTATGCTTTTTGCGGTACCCAATAGCACAGATCAACATATTATCCGGTGTCTTTGCCAAGTTACTGCCGATGTCATGAACTTACTCGCTCTGTTTATTGTCTGCATAACTTCCATGACCTCAAACCCCTTGTGAAACCTTGTTCTAGAAATTAATAGCAGTATCTCTTGTCCGCTACCAAACTCCCTGTAAAACCTTGTACCAAAATCATATCAATATATCTTGCCCGCCACCGAACTCCTTGTAAAACATATCACTAATCTGCTTCTCAATATTACTCCCGCTTCCTGTCTGACTCAACCTGAGTAAACCTTTTCCCAATCATCTTTTACTTTTATTCCTAATCCTGTTTTCCAGCCCGTGTCAAATCATAAATATTCCCCGAACCATCATATTATTCAATGCCAACTAAATCCAGCATGTTACTACTCGTCAAATCTCAATTACTCATCCTTGTCAACAATCTGTAGTAAAAGTAGACTTTAAGAGAGAATAGTTTTACAGAAAAAAATAGATAAAAAAACAAAGAGAATACAATTATAAGTCTTGTCGATTTATTTGTATAAAAATTGATTAAGAGCTAACTAGACGGGCAGGTTTGCCCTGATATTTATAGAAGATTGAAGATATTGTGGCTTGTATTTTTGACAGCTCAGATCCATCGTAGTTTTATATGATGGACCATTCATTTGGTTTATTGAAGATCGTAAGATAGCTGTCCTTGATTTATTATTGTTCCTTAAATTCTCTGATCTCTCATTGGTCGGAGCCTAGAGTTGTGTTGTAATGAAGAAATTTCCATAAAGCCGGGTTACTTATTCCCGATCTTTTATCCGTGAAACATCTTTCCTTTTGTAGACAGTAGCATTTATTATGTGGTTTTAGCACACAATCTACTCATGATATCTGTTCCGTAAAGTCCCTTGTTAATTTATAATTTAAACCCATCGTAGTTTTTCCCATGTATAAGAAATAGTATAAATAGATGTTAGTTATTTATTAGAAAAACGTTATTCTGGATCTTAGTCCTAACCCCTCCCCCTCTTAATAAATAAACCTATTTTATTTTAACCAATCGCCCCCCTCGTGTCACCAAGTAGTTTCTGTGTCTTGTTCCTGTTCCGTCCGTAACAGCCGAACATGGAATTTTTGGGGGGATCCTCAGCAATAATGGCCCACATACTCTGGTATAATGCTTAAAGCCCTTGGAAATTACCTCCAGATCGACCAAACATTCGCTCCTGCTTACCATCCACAATCGAACGGGTTAGTTGAACGCTTCATGGAAACTCTTAAAAACATGATCAGTTCCTACTTGGGTACAGACAACCACCAGAACACTTGGGATACACATTTTTCTGAACTTCAACTGGCATACAATTCTGGGCCTAATCAAGCAACTAAATATTCACCGTATAGTCTAGTTCACAGCCGTAAAGCACGAACATTAGCTACTCCCGACTTTGGCGTTTAAACGGTGTCCATTCAAGAGTATCAGATACAAACAAAAGACTTTCTTGCTCGTGCACTTGCTGTGGTTCAAATGAAAAATCGTCGTGTACAAGCTTCGAATGCTATTACCTACAATACACAAAGAACAATTCCTACTTTCAAAAAAAACAATTTGGTTCTAGTAGACTGCCCAGTCCTCTCTGACGTTTCCAAAGGTAGGGCCAAGAAATTGGTCAAGAAATTCAGTGGACCATTTCGAATTCACTAGTTACTTTCCCAAGACCGCTACAACGTTCTAGAAACCTCAAGCCAAAAACGTCTTAAAAATATACATGCTGCTCGACTCAAGATCTATTATGGCAATGAGGACATTGCTCAACCAAACCCCCGGATGTCGTGAGTTCAGACTCGGACATTCAAAATACTGTCATGGTTGACCAACCAGAATAATACAGATTTTTAGTGATCACACTTTGCCTTGTACTATACACTAGTTCATTTATTCACTATATATATACTAAGTATCGTGGCAAAATACTATTCGATTACTGATTCATAAATATCAAAATAATATAAATCCTCTTCCAATTCTTATCAATAAACGATTATCTTAAACTGAAATAATAATCTGAGGATTAAAGTACTCTAATCTCTGTTTCTCTCTTTCTGATATAACCTTCAAAGACAGACTACTCAAACTTATATTAAGAGCATAAAAAACAAGTAAGAACTAGCAATTGACCAGACGTTTTGAAACCCATTTGAGATTAAATCCCCTTGGGTCGCCTTTCTCATACCTATCCCTGTACCCACCCACATCGTCAATATAAGCTCGTCAAAGTTAGAACCTAATAAAATAAGTCCTTTTACAACCCCAATTTGCGCGATATCTAATACTCTCCATACGACGTTCGGAAGTTAGATTATAATCAAGGAACAGTAACAAAAGAACGTTTTATTAAGCCTTCAGGTAATTGAAACCCTTATACAAGAGTATCAATTTGCGCGTTTTAAAAATTATTTGTGCACTTCTAAATCTCAATTTTCCTAAATACTATTTGCCAATTTGCGAATTTTCTTAAGTCTATTTACGCTTTTCTAAATCCCAATTCTGTTTAAACCAAAATCATTTGCCGTTCCTAATAACGCGATTCCCGCTGGTTCATTTTATTGTGTCAACTATATGGGGAACTCGTTTAAACACTCTTCGAATAGTTTAACTCAATGATGTGCAAAATTATGAAGATGCTTTCTAGAAACCTGATCGCATGCCTCAAATATTCTCGTTTTAAGATCTTCTGTGTTTCCAAATTGTCTACGTCTAACCTATTCTTTTACTATAAAGCAGAATTGTTGAACGGGATTAAGTTTAGGGGAGTAAGGCAGGAGATAGAAATACCTGAAACCTCTGCTCTTAATTAGTAGTCTTAGCTCGCAATTTTTTTTTGAATGGGGAATTATCTATGATGAAGTAAAACCATTTGAATTGGAGGTACTTATCCACTTCATTCGTAGTTTTTTTGACGAAATTGTTCTAATGACCTGTATTAATTCCTCCAGTTGTTTTGATTTAACAGCGGTTGCCTTGTTGTATGCGAGCTGTAAATACACCTTAGCTAAGGTAATATGCTTGTGCTACGACGATTAAAGTATTCTCACTGCTGTCATATTTATCATATGTCAGCTGGTAATTTCAGAGTTCACGTACCACCAAACGCCTATTCAAGTACGGGTAGTTTATTATATTCTCCTCACTGCTCCTTGCGGGTTTATTGACAGCTTGGACAATATTTGGATAATCTACTCACGGTGGCAGGGTCCCACTTGTAATTTTAGTTGTATTCATTATGTATAAAAGAAATCGTTATTTGTATGTTCAATAAAATTTAGTTTTTTTTTGCAATCTGGTTAATACTTAGTCTTATTTTCTATTTTGGATTTTTGAATTTTTTGTGACTTTCGTTTCTGAGCACGAACAACTTTGTTTTTTTTCGGAGTCAGTGAGAAATTCGAGAGATAAAGCAACGAATTAAGAATAAAAATAAAGAAATTTGACGAAGTAAAATTATCAAACTGCAAAAATAAACTAAAGTCTTTATTATACAATAAATTGGGTTCTTTATATACATATTCAGGGCTGGCTGAATATCAATCATTAAAGTGAAACCTGTCAAATATACAATAGGCGTATTGTCAATTAAAGATCGAGCATCTCATGGTACCTTCGAGAATCTTGTTATTGACGAGCGATCATATCATTGGATTGTATTATCTGGAATAAATGTATGACTATTGTTTTCTATATGTTGATGAGTAATCAATGCGTAGTAAATAGAGTGTAATAGCATGTATTTGATTTAAAGAGTAATGCAATAATGATTTATAGAAAGGTTATCAAATAAGAAAGAAAGAATTGCTGATAGAGTTATATCTGTATATAAGCTCGATCACAACAGTCAGAGGAAACCTTATTTCCATATTTACAACTGCACAGGTCGAAATTGCTCCCAGAATAGTATGGCTGACAGCTCCTGCTGACGGGCTAGTGACAATAACTAAAGTTCCTCGAGCTGACCTAGCATTTGCTGGCTTCACATTCATATTGAAATCACTCTCATCAATAAAAATACAGTCTTTGGTGTAGTCCATATCCGTTTTTGCCCACGTCTGTCTTTGATGTTTGCGTTCTAATTTCTAGCAACCGGATGACGAGTAATTGTTTTGATACTCAAATTGCATTCAGTCAAAATGAATTTCCCAACCACTATATCTTTCAATATGAAGCGTTCAAAATTTATGGTAAGCTCCTTAACTACATTGGATGCTAAGGGATGTGGGTTGTCAGCGAAGAATCCAATTAAAAGAGCTTTATGCTCTTCCTGAAGATGACTCCGCTTGCTGGCAGTCTTGTTCCTATTTTTTTCAAAAGTATCAAAATCTGGATCATTGTTCCATTTCTTGGCTCAATCTTGGCTAGTCTGAACATTAATCGCAGCTTTTCTAGCTGAATCTGGAGCACCTTACAATGTAAGTTGGAAGTAATACAGAAATAAAGTTTTCTGACTATCCAAATAATCTGCATATTTAGTTTTAGATGTATTGCTTGTATCGATAGTTTTATCTAGCTGTATTATTCTTTCAGAAAATTGAGGGTCTGCTATCTTGAGTTTTAAACGTAGGTAAATTATACACAGCCGCGGACTCGGTAGTGGAATTCCGCGACACGTTGCGGAAAGACGCAACATGGTGGATAAAATACGCAACCATCGGAATATAATTTTTTTATTTAATTTTTTTTTTTTCCTTTCCTATTTTTAAATTTTTTCTTTTAGAAGCATTGCCAAATAACACATTGCCAATTAACACATCAGATTGAATAAAATAGTAATCACTCCATTAGATGAATTGTTGAAGAGAGTTTAATTATAATAAAACTTGTCTACGCAAAACAGAGAAAGATACGACCAACTTACAAATCAGCTAAAGAACCAGCAGGAAGATGATTAACCTTGTCAGTATATTTAATGTACGGCCAAACAACCTTGAAAAAGTTAGCGGAATCGGAATACCGTACAAGACCAACCACTTGGAGAATGTCTGTAATGGAAATAACAGCGTACTTCTTGTATCTGTCACCCCTGGAATTCCGAGCAACTGTCACAACATTGTGAGCGTCGAATTGCTGCTGCTTCATTACTTCAACGATAGCCAAAAAATTTTCTTCACCTTCTTGCTTGTGTGTAAAGTAGCAGTGAACCACACCGACAAACCAAATGGAAATAGATCTAAATTTTATGCTGTAAGTACCAATAAAGTTTGTCAAATGTCTTTTGCTTACCTGTGACCAGTACTTTTGGGAGCCTTAAACAGGAC